CAGGTTTCCACTGATCCCATGTCTGGTTTTGCGTTCACTAACAATAGTTACACAACGTAATTCTCTTGAGATAGACCGGGGGGGGTTACCAGTGCTGTTTTCTGAGAATTCGATGTTTTGGCAGGATGTAAAAAAGATTAACTGAGTTTCAGTTGTCGACGCCAGATCTTCCCGAAGCTGCTCGGTCGCTGTGGCATCCTTTCCATTTTTCATCCTGTCATCCATGACAAAAATAAACATCTTGAGATGTGGTCTGTATACTCTGTGGACGATCAAATATCAAGCCTCATAAAATATATCTTTAATGTTGGGTATTATCATTAAACTCTTGGTGAGGATGGAAACCCAATGGTAGGAAGCATGGCTGCCGGATCTTGTATTGCTGGCCAGAGCTGGTCGAATCGTCATGCGTTATTCAAACTTTGATCTGCGCAGCAGTTCATCAATGCAAGCTGGTGGTTTGGGACCGTAGCAAGTTCATTTGCCCCACGTAGCAGGGCACATGTTTTGTGGGTTCTTGGAAACGAATGATGCAGAGATTCCTCGATGTGTCCCATGTACTGGCACTTCATCTCACAAAACGTCTTGCAAGGAATCTCAAGTCAAACAAAAATCCCTCAAATAATACATAAAGAAAGGTTAACAAGACAAAACCAGTCAAACATTTCGAGAAAAGCAAAAAGATATACATGTACATAATTAAGTTTGTTTTTCAAATGGCTCGCAGGTACAAAATGGCATATTGCGTTAAACATCGCAGATTTTGTGCGCTGATGACGCAAGACATTTTACGATCTCCTTCGAGCCGCCATCTTTGATGTCAAGCTATATATGAAGTGGATATTTATGTCTGCAGCTGTGGATGTTTATTTGTTAAAACTGGCGAATTAAGCGGCGGTATAGTTGAGTGTTTGGTCATACATATCCGTGTGAACGAGGCCTGGTATCAGACATGGTGCATCGCGTTTGATGTTGTGAAGTAAACTTGTGTTTGATCTGTGAAGTAAACTCCAAAGAATTTGATACCCCGTAACGTTTCCTATTTGTTTAGACTGACATGAAGATGTAAAACCTTTTTTTTTTGGCAATGAAATAACGGTAAACCTTGTCAGGCGATGGAAACGGTCAGCGGAGATGTAGGCCTTCAATGGATTAAACATAAACAGACTTGTTCTAAATGTCAGACTTCCAAAGGCATGATTAAAATCTTAAAAAGGTAGAATCCATCTGTTTCAGTGTGACAGTATCCCAAGAATGCACACATTCGTAAGACAAAACCGACGCAGTTGAATGTAACTATATACCCATGGATGGTTGTCATTGAAACACACCTCAGTTTTGGTACAACACATGAGAAATCGAACTGTATTATGCACCGTATCAACGTACGCTGCCTTATCAGTGGATCTGGCATGACCCTACACGTATTGTATTGGTTAATGAATTGCATTACCAATTTGGCGAGTTGTCTGTATGTATGACCATTGTGCTGAAGGAAATTTAGGGAGACGCAAAGGAAGTGCGGCTGATCTCCATTATTACGTTAAAATGTAGTACCAACCGTCCACAGTAATTCCAGTTAGCGCTTCGGAAAGGCGGGTCTAGAATCGCGGAGGGGGGGCCGATTTGGTATTTCTTTCTCCGTACTTATCCGCCTGAAAAGCAGTTAGGTTCTACATGTAGTCCTTGAACACTGAACGAACCACGTAGAGTAGACCTTAGATTTGATTCTAAGTTTGGGGCTTGCCAATTATAAACTTGTGCAATGCGTACCTTGCTGTAATGGTTAAGCTCGTCAACCATTTTAAAAAACAAGAAATGTACTCGTTTAGAATTCAAAATTTTAGGATATTGTCGTTAAGGGCACTGCACACCAGAAGCATTTGAGTATTATCTGTGAGAACATAGATTCAATTAATCATAGATTCCAGCAGCTTGAACACGAGGTTTTTAGGTTGCAATTTTTAAGTTTTACTAATACACCTGAAGCACAGTTGTCCCAAACGTAGGAGCTAAATTCAACATTTTCTCTGAGGAAGGCCTTTCTTCCTCCGATAACAAACTGGGTGTTTATCAGACATTGTTTTGACGGAAATAATACTCTTCACATGAAGGCTTGTGGTTGAAGTCACTTACTACATGATGTTTTTGCACTGAGGTCGGAGACACTGATGACAATAGAGGCAGAATTTTGGCTCAACACTGAGAATTTTCATGGCATAAGAGGAGGCTATAAACGGACAACCACCTGACACAAGTTATTTGCCCTCCGGAGGAGATTCCTCATCTGAAGAGGATTTGACAGCTCCTATATCAACAACAAACCGAAGTAGCTTGGGGTTTTTTAAATCGAATTCTTGCCTTTTAGTTAAACTGGGCTGTCTGAGCAACACACGTCTGTTTAATTGGAATCAAAGTGTTTTGAGAGCTACATCTTTGAGATACAGAGCGTCAATATTGCTCGGTGGATACACCACATGGGGTAAACAGCAGAGAAAGCCAAATTTGATAAAGAAAAAAAAAAGAAGCAAAGCAGAAACATAAGCATCTCTGCTCCAATTAAAGTCAACCGATATTTGTGTTGTTCCCAATCGTCTCTAAGGATTTCTGTTAGATCGACAATTACTGTAACAGCTTTACCGTGTACGCTTCACGTCTTACTTTGCCCCTTTCCGGTCTACAGCAAACATCTCAAAGCTACAGACTGCGACTCGTTATTGGCACTTCACTCCCACATTAACTTTTTAGGAATTATTTAAGGACCGCCTTTCTTTTCATTCAATATGGCTGACTCGAGAATAAGGTCAGTTGTTGACCCAACCCTTAGAATCTTCTACTGGCTTCTTATTATCATTAGGAAGGATCAGTAGTGTTGACTGAGAATAAAGATGCGGATATTTCAATCGAAATTGACGCCATAAGAAACGTCGTTCGTCACGTTTGTAATTATAGTGCTGTGGTATTATGATAATGAAGACAGTGTGATTTGGTCCTGTCATTATGCTTTATAGCTGGCTAATATCAATTACAGAACACATGACGAAAAGGAAAGGTGCTGGCCTGCTAAAAGAATGGGGTGGGCTAGTTATGAGTAGGGTAATAGATTCTGAGCCTGAGGGTTGATCATCCGTGTTAGCCTCAGAGGAATTCTTCCCACACATTATGGCGTCTGTATGTAAAACACCATCTTGCATCTGGTTGAGTGTTTGCTAGGTCCACTCATATTCACCGCTCGGACTCCCGGTGGCTTTAACGTGGGAAGGGCAAATATCAAAGTTACAATCGAAACAGGCCGGGCAGACATCAATTTGGCCCCTCTTGGGTTCATGTTCCAAAGAGGGTTCCTGGGATGATTCTCTCGAAATGTCACGGCAGAGGAGAGAGTCAATGCAAGCAAACTGTCAAGTCGTGTTCAACACTGCGGGAACAAGACCTCGCGCAGTCAAGCGAGTAGGCGTTTGTCGGAGTGTAAGCGAGTAAGGCGAATCTTGAGTGCAAGAAAATTCAGCCCTCTTTCCCTTGGCTGTCTTGCAGCATTTGTAGCCCCTTCCTGAGTCAACTATTTGTTTATTTTGCTACTAACTCCCCGAAACGCCATTATCTCGACATGCAGGTGGTACCGTCTGTCAGATTATTCCAACCTCCAAACCATAGCAAGTATTCGCCGTATTTGGAACAAGCCATGAATTAAGCCCCTAGCTTCTCTCACACCGTCTCCCATTTCCTATGACGACCGTCATAGAGGTTAATTCCGCGTCGTTCAGCGGGCGGGAATTTGTTGTTTTTTAACCGGGGAAATACTGAGCTCGCTCCCACGGCCTGCCTAAACTGATCCGACAGCCCCTAGTTGCCTTGATGGAAGATTGCTTCTTTCCAACGAGCCACGCAATTATCCCCACCCTCGTTTCTCATAAATTTTTTTTCTTTGAAGTTAATATCATTTTTGGCTTACGGAAGTTAATATAGTAGGTATGAAACACGAATCTAAATTGGTACAGGTTGTGCGCGGCAGCCAGTTTTTTCAGTAAGAGCTTTTGTTCCGCAGAGATATCCATGATTTTTAGCCCTTTAGTGAGATCCCTCCAGAACAGAAGCAGGAACTCGAAAGATGGCTGACAGGCACATCCTCTATTTGTACATATTTGCTTAGCCATTTTTTAGCAAAACAAAGAAGGGACGTCATTTATCACAAAGGGATTTTGGTCACTGCCAATTAATTTGGGGGTGTTGAGGGACAGCGCTTCCGGCTAAATCGGTCAGCCGATTGATCAAACCACAGGGAAAACATCTCAAACTACCCTTCAGATTTGTCACTTGACTGGCGACAGACTGACCGTTATTAACGTGCCAGTTACGTCCGGTTCCCTCAACTTAATGAATTAAAAACAAGAATGTCCAGAGGTTATTTATTCATGCTAACATTTCGTTGGAAGTTATAATTGAAGTGTTTTCCTGAAATCTAAATGACGTATTGGAAAGAACCAAATCCATCTTAATATCGTTTGAATCAACACTCACAGTTAGAAAATACATAACCCTGTACAACAAAATCGTGAACGATCTTAAGCGTACCTTGAAAAAGGTATTCCTCCTATAATAAATTTCGTGTAAAAAACAGGACTATAGGGGTTCAAATTAGGAAAACAACCACTTAATTAACATAAGCTGATGTGTAGAGGTCCTATTTCGACAGGGAGAAGGGAATTGGGCCTCTGAGAGCAACGATCACGAGTCATATGCTGTGTAATAAAATGTTCTTGGCCTTCTTTCAAGGGAAAAATGTGAAGCGAATGATGGATAATGGGCAGGTGTAAGCTTTAAACATCAGGTCTCTCGTGTCACGTTAGTTACCTATATCAACTAGAGGTAGTCACTTTCATCCACAATCTGTCCGCTAAATAGCAACGATCACAAATCTCATCCGAACTATTTCCGTCTCGAATTTGTTGAATCTAAGCCTACTTTGTGATTTGGTCACTGTCTCGTTTTTTTAACTGAAGGAATCCGAGTGTCTCTGAAAGGCGAGATACGGACGCAGTGGCGAGAGAAGATCAGATCAGCCACGGGGCAAAAGCGTGCAGGGACCTGCCTACGAGGCGGTGAGCAGTACTTGTTCGACCGGGCCACTGTCTGGGGTAAAGGTAGGCAAACTTCGTAGAGACTCTGTTCAAATACTTTAGAATTTTCAGAGTTTTTGTTTCTGGTTTTCCCGTTCTCATTCGCTGGATGCTGAACGTAGCCTAAAACTGATTTCCGTAACGACAAAAACACCAGCTGATTTACACTCCGTTTTAGTGAGACCCTTGAGTTTTGAGCTTGTGCCGTTTTATCAGTGAGTCCATATGCCTTTTTAGAAGGCGTCAGGTGGAATTACTGAGCACAACTCTCACCTGCATCCACATTTTCAACTATGTTTCCCTCCTGCGTGTGCTGCTGGCACTTACGTAGTGATGACATGTGCCTGTCAGAGTCCCGGGAATGATTCAAGTAAGATTTGTCACCACCGTAGCCTTACAAACAACACCAGCCACCTGAAAATCGCGTCTGAATTGAACGCAGAGTGTTACTTGGCCAAGTTGGCTCGTGACGCAGCCACAGCCAAACGTTTTAGAATGAAGTTTTTGTAAGTGTCTGCTGCCACCAGTCCATGACTCCAGGCCTTTAGAGCCAAGTTGAATGTTCATCCACTAGCGTAAAGTTATCTTTTTGCTGAGTGATTTGTTTCCATGTCAACGCCTTAAATCAGGGTCATCGCCATTTCTCGGTCTCCTCTCCAGCTTTGACATGCATTCAAAACAACCTGGCTGTGGAATTTTCTAAATCTACCATCTTCATCAGTCCATGGGCCTGAATTGTTTCGCGCAGATCTGGATCGCGATCAGTGATCCGATGTTGGTTCACTAACACCCGAACCCGCCTAATGGAGGGCGCGAACCAGCCTTGGGACCACTGATCGAAATCCAAATCCGTGCGAGAAAAACACGCCCAAACCGGAACCATGAGTTTTTCTGTTACAGGCCACAACTTCAAAGTGTCTGCATCTAAGGCCTGGCGATTAAAAGTTAGTCTACGATCAAGTCTGTGGTGAGTTCCGATTGGACTACCTGCACCTTTGGCAGAGTTGCATGAAGATAAAATTGAAGGGATATCACTATTAAAACAGTACCCCCTGACCGGTGAATAACTGGAAAAAGGGCCGACCGCCTTCCTCTCGTCTCCAAGTTTTTTTCCGGAGTTTAAACAGCATGCCCCAGTCTACTAATTTACCCTGATGGCGTACATCTAGTGACATGCATCAACCAGCGAAGTGCAAAGTTTGGCCAGTAGTGTCGGCCCAAAGGAATGTCGTTAAACAAAGTGTCCTCTTTGAATAACTCACAGATCCCATGCCCGTTGTAGAATCGTAACAGCTTAAACAAGCTCCGTATTATAAGAATACGTTATTAGTAATCTTACTCAACTTAAATGGGGTACAGTTTGTAACTTTTTTGGGGGGGGGTGTAATATGAAATAGACATCGAATTCTGTACGACAAATAAACAGTACAGAATCCACAATACCGCAGTCGAAAGGGCACTGGTAGAGTCACATAAGCTTATGCACGCACGTTGATTTATTAACATGAGTGTGTGAATCGGACGTAGATTAGGGCCTATGTAGGCTACTGTGATGATCTGGAGCAATTTAGTAATGATGACAAATTGGTAGAAGAGGTTCCAGCGTAACTGGCTTACTGATCATTGATAATACCGGCAAAGAACAGTCATCTACTTGATCTGCACTTCATTGATGCAAACAAAGAGATACCGATCTATCATTCCATTTTGAGAGGAGCGACTCTTCGATTCTCAGACTCGTCAAGTGGAATGGATTACAGTGATTCAGTTATTACCTCTTAGCACAAAGGAACTGATCACGAATGGATACATTTGCCATTCGGCTGAAAGATGGCCGCTCTGCTTTGTTGGTTCAGAATTTATCATTTTGCTAAATAACTCAAAAACGTCTTTGCATATCTGACTGGCTGTAACCATCCCAGCGATGTGTGTATCAGCCAGTGTGTCAGCTGTCATGGCGCATTTTAACATGAAACAAGCCCAAGAGGGTGAAACTTTTAAATACCGATTTGATAATGAACTCCGTATCTCTTGGAAAGACTAGCGCTCCTTAAATGTACGCTTTCATTAAAATAAGTTGTTAAAATTAATTTTTCATGTTTTTCTCCATGAATCAAGTCCTCGAGAATTCACCTGTCTGGTGAGGTAGGTATTTAACTCCTTGCACGGGATGCCACATTCAGATAACAGGTGCACTTGCAAAGCAAAGACTGTTACGTGTTTTTAATGTAGGTGATAGACTGTTTCGAAAGAACTCATAGGCTGAAGCTTGCTAGCCATTTGAATGCACCGGGAAAACTATATGTAGGCCCTTCTCAGGAAATTAGGCCATGAGATGTAATATAGACCGGTTTTCAGTCGATTCCTGGTGAGATATAGCTCTCATTCTTTAACCACCTGGCCGCTGATAGCGTTTCTCCTATTAGAACCAGAGAAAAAAAAGAACTGCTGCATCTACTCTGACTGAAAACGGAGCTGACAAAAGCGAAACGAAAATGCAGTCAAAATTGCTCGCATATAGATTTCCCGGACAATGTTCCTGCGATATACCTGGAAGCGGATAAGTGCATGCGGCGGTTCAATAGGCCATGAATGATAAAAAAGTAGATATACTCAGTTGATATAGTTAAGTGGTACCGGATCTTATAATTCTACCAAAATTATTCCACAAGATTCTCCAAACCTCACGTGGTATGGGGCAAATTATAGTTCTACAGTCTTACTGTACACCACACGAAGCTCGCACTTGTCTGTTAGTGATTTACGAACGATGTGTTTTGGTGACTGCGCTACTGGCGCCAGTTTGCTTTTATAGCAGCCTACTAATCTAATCTCCAGAACCTTTGCACTGGTTTAACGCTCCTTAATGTGCTACTGAGTGTAGGAAAACAAATTCGTAATAGACCCTGTGATTGAGGACTGGATTTCGCTAGGCTAGATATCTTTTCTCCCTTTTTACTTAATGTAGTACAGAAGGTGTGGGGGGAAGTGTTATATTTCTGCGGGACTGCAGGTTGTTGGAAAAGTCTTGTCGTGGAACGAATGCATACACTTTGAGTGATGAGGTGGCATTGTGAGCAACCGTTCAGCTTAAATTTCGGCGCATAGCAACCGTCTGATTTTGTCCGAGATGACAACAGACATGTCTGGTGGTCAGATACAGCCGTTACTTGTGAACTTAATCATAACGGTATTTGGACGACTGTTTGCAAAACAACCTTTCATGGTAAATGGCAAGAGCATGCGCGGTTCGTTACTGACGTCATTCCCGCTTTTCAAATCGGAAGTCGCGATGGACATTTTGGTGTATAGATGAGGGAGAATATCGATTTGTTGTTTCCGGACTTTTCATATCGGCTTGAATGCAAGGCTACCCGACAGCTGAAGTACTTGTTTTCATAACAGCTATATCATCAAACTTATGCTGAGGTTCGCACTATCGTAATCAAAGTGGGAAGCGCAAATATCCGCGAACTTTTAGTTGTCTGCATTGAGCATGAAAAGAGAGATGAGCTATGATGTCATAAATGAAATGGACAGGGCACACGCTGCACCGGTATACCAAACATAAGTCAGGGTTAGTTGATATTTAACCAAATTTATCGTCCAAGTGTTACTTCGTTTTGAAGTTTTGGTATGGTATGTTTCTAGCATTTCTTGCATGTAGACATTTCAAAATGTAAACCTACTGAAATATTTCCCTGGACGAGAAGCAGCTTGGTATGCGCAATATAGCTTCAACATACAATAACTTTCACAATCCGAACAACGCAAATGCCTACGTCCCGAGACTGTGAACGGAGGGAATGTTTAGTTTGTAGGAAATCATGTTGTATTCCTTAGGATTCGACGTGGGTACTACCGTCAGTTTGTAGTACTGTTCTGTTTTACTGGTACATGTCCTAGTTTGTATGCGGACTGTTTACGGAACTATATTCTAATCTGACTTTTACTGGCAGGAAATAAAACTGCAGGCCCTTTAAATCCCAACAGCTCAAAGGAGGCAAGGAGGCCGCTTTAAAAAACTGAGCCTTTTTATATAATGAGGGAAAGGCAAGGGTCTATTTCATTTCTGTTACTTACAGAAATGTGTGCAAAGCTCGAAAATGAAGCTTCACCCTAAGAAAGGGTACATTCAAAATGTCCCAAGTTTTCACTCTCCCCCCCAAAAAACCCCAACCTTCCCCCGAAAATATGGTTCTGGACACGCCCTTGAAAGGAGGGCACAATACGGGAGGATTTTCAGGTCAATGATTTAAGCAAAATGCCCAGAATTGTTAAATATTCGGGAAATTTAGTATCTGCACTCCTTGATCCAAATGTGGGTTTGGACTGGATTCGAACCCCGCACGCGGTGGTTGAGGGTAGAGGAGGTATCCGTCCTACTGACCTGTCCAGAAAAAATGTAGTATACATCGTGCTCTCTCTGAGAGGATTTCCTGATCAACGAGCCGTTTGCGCCTGAAATATGTGCATTGAGGGATATACTAACCTGGCAGCTGAGGTTGATTTAAGAATGTGTATTTGCCCGATGAGCAGGGGTAATACCAATCATGAAGCGCTTTGAACAGCACAGCAATGGTGGACATGATTACACATGTGCATTTTGCGGTATTGCAAAGTTTGGCATCATGCCGAAAATGGATGATGCTGACGAAAAATAAAGAGGGTTCTTCATGGTTTCGATGCGCAAGATTCGTTAAAACTTTTAAATCAAAAGTGGCTCTGTTCTTGTGTAACTCATTTTATAAGGTCGAATCACGTACAATTAATACCTTTTTGGTACACTTTCATTCTCAGAACTGGATTCCGATGATGATTCCGAAATTCCTCTGTTGCAAGCCGGTTCACACTCTTTCCCGTTTCAATTCCAACTGCCGACTCAGCCCAACCTTGCCTGCTCCTTTGAGTGCGACCGCATAGCGTGCATCAGGTACTTCGTCCAGGCCAACATGGACATCTCCTGGGCTGTGGACCCGGTAGCAGAGCGCTACTTTTCTTTTATCGGATCCCCCATCAACTGTAACCTGCCCAAGTTTCTGGTAAGTTCTAGCTAGGAGTTTTCCCAACTACTTGCACAAAACGTGAGACCATGTGGAATTACCTAACCATTGGGTTTTACAATGAATGCCTGTTTCTAGATGAATATTTGACATTCATGAAGGTGTCCCACGAATAATGATTTGGGTTTAATAAGACATCAACGTGTTGTTCTAACTCTTGGAATAGGGCAAAAAGGACAAGAAATTGTCCTTTCTCGAGATACTCAACTGGTCTGGAAACAGGTTCAATTAAGTATTTGCCACCATTGTGCGTGTGGGCTTTTCCCCATTTCCTTTTTCATATTTTCATGTTTATTATCAAAGGAGCATATACCATCTTAATATATAATTGTCTGCCGTTGACTAACACAATTTGTACTGTACCAAAGATTAATTAAAAACAAATGTAGTATTTTGATATCGTGCTTTCTTCCAATTGACTTTGAGTTTCATTGTATGGCTGCACAGAACATAATACTTGGGTGTGGGTCCTACTCGAAAAAGCCCCCCCCCCCAGACTGTTTGATCTCTAGGGAGAATTTAGTCATAGGCCTATAACTTTTCACGGGACTTTCATATCAAATTATAGCTTAGCGACTTAATATAATTTTATCATGTTTTTCATGAATGCCTTTAACCCTCACACAATCAAAACATCGGTTATTAAACATCAGATGCTGTATACTTCAGTTTGCAAGTCCGTTGGACAAATCGTGAGAGTGTGATTCTTCAGTGAGCGGCGTTACGGTGACACAGGCTACTACAGTGGAAATTCAAGACAGATAGTTAACCTCAGAGACTAGCGGTCGCTCTGTCCCGGCACATTATGTCGATACCATTTCTCTAATGAAACCTTTTTGGACGTGCCAAGCTTTGTGCAGTTCTCCCACGATGTAATCATTTAAAAAAATTCTAAGAAAATCAGATATACCAATCTCTATGAGACAGATACGTCATCTTTTAAAGAAAAGAAAATCTTTACTTTGTACAAGAACTGACATGTACCAACAGGACGTGAAAGTGTGAACTATCAAGTACAAGAACAAAGCTCTTTATTGGAGTGAATTGAAATCTTGTAGATTTACTTACATACATGTCGTAACATGCACATCAATTTGTAAAAAAACACACATGTACACACAGAAATGTTAATGGACAGCCGTCGAGATTGTAAATGCCGAAGGGGAAGATTTAGAGTACACATATAAAGTGCAAAGAAACATTCCTCGTATTTTGCTGGGAAATCAGGCAAAAACTTCGGAATGTAATGCCTGTAATGTCTGACACTACCCACTCATTCGCCTCAAGCTGACATGAATATCAAATAAACACGTGAGCCCACACGTTCTGTCTACAGAATATCCCACTGAACCCACACATTCGCCGTCCAAACCCATGTGAATGTTGTTTATAAAGGACTAGAGTTCTTGTTCATGCATCGAGTAGCGCATAATATACCATGCGCGTAGACCTTACAGGCCCCTTCACAACCGTGCTAATAATGTATGTGGACCGCGTGCACGGTGTAGTAGTATTTACTCTCATCTTCAGCATTTGTGGAGTTCTTCCTTTCGTTAGTCCATTGCTTTATGGTTAAGTCAACTTAATCTAGCGGAATACGAGAGGTTGTCTAGACTGGACATCAGCCCTCCATTTAATCTGTCAGTAACTTAGAACAATGCGGAGGTTATAAGAGCGACACTGCTATAAAACACCCCCCCTCCAAAAAAAAAACCCACGTCTGGGCACAGTTCTTTGGTTTATCTTTCTGACATATCGTGATATACCTGGAGACTCTTCCGTTCTGTCTATTAAGGTTGTCTTCTGAAACACAATTCTCACGTTGCCTTATCCCCTTGATGGAGTAGACTGTTGACCAACGCGGCACCTTTTTATCGCGGCTTCGATTCCAACCCCACACAACTGCAGTCTCGGTTTCACTTGATCTAAGTGTTCGTCACGTATCGCGTGCAACCGTTCAGAATTCGCTCAAAACGTTTGGACTACGACACAGCCTAATATATTGAAATCACGACAACAATTCGCATAAATATTGAAATGTAAACGCACAGACTACTTTGCTTTTTACGGCTTGTGCGAATGGCAAACAAACGGAGATTTCTCTAACGTCATAAACCATATTGACGGAGAGAGACCTTGCTCCACCGTGCATGATTATGTTCAATACACGATGGTGTCGTGGGGCTTCATCTACCGCTAAAAGTAATGAAAATGTGCTTTCAGAAAGGTGCTCTACCTAACGCATGAAAACGCCACCTCCAATAAATGGGCACATTAACGCCTGATGGGCATTTAAAAATTCACATATTACGTAGGCAGTTTGAACAGTCTGCCGTTTGCCAGAGGAAAGTGGACTTTGGACGACTTTCATTTATTAGTCTAGAGACAGATGGAACACCCAGACGAAAACCACCGAGACAAACCATTGGGAGATTAGTGTATGGCGCGTAGGCCTATGCAATTTTATCGGAGTAGGCGAGATTTAACACAACCAGTCTGTCTCAATGAGAAACGTGGGTGTGATTAAGTCAGCACAATCTGACGATTGCCCCAATTTCCGCTATTATTCTTGTGTAATGACCAAAGGTATGGTTTCAGTTTTATGCAAAGACAAACCCATCAGAAAGTCAGGTCTTGGCGGGCACAACGATAATATGGCTCTAAGCATGAAAAAATCCTCAATGCTGCCAGCCACTACGATTTTGTTTGAATCAAGAGGCCTGAAGTCTGCACTCGAATGCAAGAGACTCAAAATAATAACATCAGTTGCTAGTGAGCCGTCAGTTTGGTGACCACAACTAGAACACACATTAAAGTTGAAACGTAGAGAAGACTTGCTTTTCAACGCGTGCAGAAGCTCAACATCACCCTGGGTATGAAACCTGCTCGTTGTGCTTTTGGTGTGATTTCATCTTTCTGTCCATTTAACAAGCGTTTGCATTTTGAGCTGTTTGGGCGTTTGGCTGCAAGTTTTAGAGTATTTTCCCAACAAATGGTCGCAGGTATAGAAAGTTGAATAAATGATCCAAAAAGTTACTAATACCGTAGTCAGTTGACAGGAAGTAATTCCCGATAGCTCCCACCTCCAACTTTCGAAACGTGAGGTGAGGCTCAATCATTTTGATCGGTTTAATATTTCCTACACCAGAAAATTGTTCACGCTACCGACCGCAAGACCATCCGATGTTGCTGTTTGTCTAGCGGCCCCATTGCTCTGAAGGCCGAAATGCAACGAAGTGCCTACTGTCCCGGAGAATTTGTCAACATCCGCACGCGGCTGGACAACAACTCAGCGAACACGATGAAGCTAGGAGTGAGATTTGTACAGGTGAGGACACGTCGTCTATCTTATATCTGTGCCACTAGACTATGGAATGTGCTCTCACCGACCCTCAGATTGGCTCCAATCCCCCTAAACTTCATCTGAGAAAACACCTCCCTGGTGGGATATCTGATATTGCTGATAATTCCCGTTTCAATTTGCGTAACTGCTTGTTTGATCTTTTTTTAACGGCCATGGTGTATAGTGCCGTTTTCAGAGTTCAACACAACGTAATTATCTCTTGTATTAATTTTATAGTTCAATGCCTAGGAACATGATGCACACGAAACATTGCACTGTAATATTGGTATAAGGGTCATTCCATGAGGTTGGGGCACAATTTGTGACGGTGTCCTTGTTATATGGGTAATTTTTACTGCCTGTCATGACCTGTAGAGTAGGTCATTTATTCTAAAAAATAACACACACCTCTGTATTCAGCCTTGTAAAGAAATAGCTGTTAATTTTAACGGAACCCACGTAACAATGGATACCATCACAAATTGTGCCCCAACCTCACGGAATGGCCCATAAACCAAATTGAAAGTGTTGCATTGCCTCTCGTCCGACGGTATTTGCCGGGGAGATCGTGAGACGGTGGCATTGTACTTTGACTACAGCAATTTTGTATTCACTGCCCATATTTATGGTTTAACCGCCTTCCTAAAGCCAACCACCATTCTCTAATTCTCCTTTTGTGAAAACGGGGGGGGGGTTCAATCATTTGCAGAAAGAGGACATTCAGAGCATGAAAATTGACATTAAAATCAGCGCCACTTTGCCGTTGCACAGACTTTTGGACAGCTCGACACTTGATAAGTATTTTGCTGCTTCTGTTTTGTTCATACATTCCATTTCAACACCGCATCGTTGTCGACTTCGCTAGACATTGACAGTGATTCTTTTGAAAGGTTACATTAAAGATGCTGTGTATCAAAACCTTTTCTTTACTTTGTGGCTTCGTGCTCTATGCAATTAGACCGAAAACAATCCATGACGTCTCGCTCGCAATAATGAGTTATTTTGCACAGCGGCACGAGGCTTCCGGCATTGAAGAAGCCTCCTGTGCCACATGTGGTCTGGTGGTCAGATATCTATGACGCAAATCAACATTTACCATGCCATGTCAGGTTGGGTGGAGTTCCAAATTAGCGCAGCGGTACAGTCATTGCTTTCTACATCACCACCCAGGATCGGATCCTGAAGGCTGCTACCCTGCGGGACTTTCCCAGTGGATCAAAGGGCTATGCGATACCAAGCTAAGTCCCCACTTTTTGATGATGATTTAAGTATAAAAAGAAAAGTAAGCACAGCCGGTAACTGAATATGTGACATTAATGTGCTATCCGCTGAATCTACCCGGAGAATCTAGCACATCGGCAAATGAGACTGTAATACCGCATGTCAAACAATTACAATAAATCCCCCGCCGGATTATTTTAATGGGCGATATAGTACAAATACAAGACCAGGCCAATATGTCGCTAATGCGTTTCATTCCAATGAACATGGCAATTCTACACATTCAGGAAATACTTTGCTAAACCAAATTATGACGCGGTTTACTGAAAAAAATTATACAACTAAAGGCATGGCTTTATCTCTTTAAATGTTACTGCTGTCACATTTCCATTGGGCAGAGGTAAGTGCACTTGGAAAACGGGAAAACAATTGAAATAACATAAATAGGAGACTACAGTACAGGTCAATAGCGGTTTGAAGGGCCTGGCAGATATCGATTGTGTCTTTACAGCCGTTTTGCCAGCGATCAGGAGTCAAACTGCGTCAGAATCGCATCATTTTCAGACCATTTGAATCCCTCAATGCACTTGAGAAAGTGAAAAGGAAGTTATATTTTGCTGGAATGTTTGCTCCTTCAGTGTGGCGCATGGGGTGAATATCCGACCGACTGTGTTGTCACTTCGGGACAAAAGAGGTTTCATAGTTTTTCACCATTCAATTCATTTAACATTTTTCAACACCTCGACTAAAAGAAAGAAGTTGAATTAAAAACACAGCTTTCCTACTCAACCTTGGAGGATTAAATTTGTTTCGTTGAGTTTCGGAAAAGATTACAGTGATGGCTGTTGATATCTTGCTTGCAAAGGGACTTTCGAAATGTGCAGTTTATTCAACTCCTGGCAGTTTTAAGAGAAACGGTTATCATGAAGGATCTTCACCACGTTTCCAAGATGTCATGCCGAGTGAAATCCATTCGGATTAGTTTGAAAATGTTTCATCTCCAAGGATGATACAGGCAGCGATCGGATATTAACCGTTGTAGACGAGAGGAATCGGCGGTTTCACCCGGTTTATGTCACACACGAAGATTAAAGCTGGATCTCAGGCGAATGTGCAGTAAAGACACTGTCGGAAATGAGCATGGACCAAAATTGTCAATGAAGACATTATGAGGTACAAAGTGCGATGCGAGACGTTCGGTCAGCTGTTCATGAAGCAAGAGCCGGCGGCCACGTCGGACCGTCGTCTCTCCCATATTCTCCCTCCGTCTTCTTCCGCTGATGTGTCCCAGGGCGACTAGCTAGGCAGCTGAACTAGTCCTCAGCAGTGTTTTGAAATAAATTGGCCACATCCTCCTTGCACAAAACAGATAAATAAAAGAAGGGATGCCTCCGAGACATCGTCGCATGTTTGTGACTGTGGTCCGTACTGGATACAGAGCAGGTTCAAGTGACACCTTGTAAAATTCGTTATTGTGCATCCTCGCTGCAGCCCATATATTACATATATATTATATATATGCATTCCGCCAGCAGATATGAGATACCATCGAGAAAGCCTTCGCGTGTTTGGATTTGATGCCTAACTGGATTACCATCTCAACTTGCTAGCGCGCACCGCCAACACAACACTCGCCCGCATCTCCCAGCTTCCAACGGCTAACATGGCGACTGCTGTATATGCCTTACCTCTCGCCTGTTATGATTGCATACTTGGTTATAACTGTAAGACCAGTTATCGCAGTATTGATAGTTCGTAAAATTTCCTGAAATGGCCGTTGGTCCTCTGATATGAAAACCCCTCCCTATCATCAAGAAGCAATATGATATCAAGATTGGCATACCGCATCGTTGTACGTGATGAGTAATGCTGTTTACCGAGGTTTAATGCATGTTTACAGAATTTTGATGACATGCATTTGGTAGAGTCATGCACACGTACGGTAGTATAAAACTTAAGCCAAGCTATCACGCTGGAGATGCACTCGGTATCCTGTGGCCCACGTTTACCGGAGATAGGCTGGGAGCAGCAGCCGACGTTGGGGGGGGGGCTGGGACGAAATTACGACGAATAATCTGAGACCGACTGATTTTCCCCGGCATATTGAATATGCGTGGACAGACGTTAAACACCCGCGAGTGCTGGAAATAAAGCCGTGTCAACAGGCTGTGGCCGGCCATTACACGCGTCTATGTGAAGTAGCTGTAGCCGGTAACCAACGGCGTTCACAGGCGCACATGACATTTCCAGCCACGCGCAACCGCTACATTTGGACGCTGCCGAACTTGGTCCAGCATATATGATCACATCAGGGTTTGTCCTCTGAGTATACGCAGACGATAAATGGACATGTTTAATTTGACAACGGAAGCACAATCCTGAATTAACTAAAAGGTTTTCCAAAAGAAATTCTAAACCACCGTATTGACTGCAAGTTCTGAGGAAATATTTACTTCGAAATATGAAAGGATTTTCAACTTAGTGATTTATGATCCAAGTGCATGGTGAATTTTACGTGAAAAGAAAAACGTCAAAACTGGGATTAGGAATGATGTTTGCTATTCCGCCTTTCGTTCCTGGATAGTCAAATGATTACTGCATTATCATCTGATCCCAGTCATCCAAAGGGAAATGAAGGATAAAATGTATTCAATGTGTGTCCTAACTCAATCCACACGCTGCAGATTTCAAATTGGAATCGTGAGAAAGGGAAAACGAGTAAACGACATCACGTGATCGCGGTCGCCAAGTAGGATTCACTATCCCACGTAACCACCGACAGACAAACCGACAGAGCCATGACAGATCTACTTCCTCCAAATAGTTTGAAGGCAGTGCTATTACTCTGAAGCGGTGCACGTGCTCCCGGACAGGTGTTCTTGTCGATTGGAGAGACTGTTCTAATTTATGATAGTCGCTAACACTTCCTCTTCTGTTGAAAGCGTCTTGTCTTCTCGGACCACCTGTCACTACGATGTAACCAATTCAACCTTTAGCTTGCTTTGGAAAACGCCAGCAAAATTTGATTAAAATCGACCATCTCCGTGGTGCAGTATAGCTTGTATTAAGTTAGAAATCATCGATTTGTTTCTTTATTTCCTACAGACAATCTTTTTTATCTTTTAATATCATTATTAAAGATCATTTGCCATTCTATCCAAGCATGTATGTTACGTTTTATGTAGCATCAAGCGCCTCGAATGTTAAGGTCAAACAAGTACTGTCCAAAACCCATCAACTCTCAGGACAAAAATGATCCTCCTTGTAACTTCTGAGATTGTTTTCCTATCCCAGAATATCAGCTTGGTGGCCGATAATCCCAAGCGAAGAAACAAAACGGGGTCATACGAGATTCTATGCTACACAAGCCCAGCTGTACTGCCCGAACAGGAATATGTCCTAGAGACGGCCCGAATGCTACAAATCCCCATCGTGCCCTACACTATCTCATCGAGGCTGATTCAAGTTGCGTACCTGATTGAGGTAAGTAAAGCCAAAGCCAAGTGGGCCTGTCCAGATGCATTTGCGTAGGGTAAGGCCCAGAACTCGTTCTCTTTACAGCAAGATCATAGCGTGAGGCTGGCATTTGATTATATACAGGGTAATAATGCCCATGTTCCCTGAACAGTTTGGTAGAAATGAAAGATTCAAAAGGGATTAAACCATTCAACGAACGAAACGGATTTAAACTGACATTTTCCTGACTGCAATAAATCTACGGTATTCTTATAATGAAGATATCCTTGAAAGGACAAAAGCTTCAAGTTATTCCGACCAATGTTTCCCCCGGACTTGTTCTTAAATTAGTAGCAATGTAGTGCTATACCGAGCAACCCACCGTCAATTCATGGAACGGAAAGACGTCATGACGCGCCTACAGCATTTCCTCTTTTGATTTGATTTTGTTTTCACTCTTTAATGCTGGAAGGAGACTACGTCTAAAAGCGTGACATGCATTATTGCTGAGCCTCGTGTGATACGGATTGTAGAGTCAACAAAACCAGCTCTGCCTGCAGCAGGGGCTGTCCCATCCAATTGTTTCGAACCTCTCAGTCACTAATCTGGTGTGGACAAGTCGATGCCGTAGTTTCGGCGAAACTGCCACAGTGAAAAATGATAAATAACAATAGAAAAAACTGGAATAGTCAGTGACGGATGGGGGGGGCGCCCCTCAACCGGTGCGTGATTAAAAAGAAGAGAATGCAAGTGGTTAATTTCCTCCTTAACTTAAATTTAAATCAGTCCTGCGGTATATTAAATTGAAACAAATTAAGTTTTAAAAAATATCTTGATTTTTCTGCAATTTGAGTCCACATAAAAAGAAAGACCAGATTTCAAGGGAGTCCATTACTTCACATGACACCTACTAACTTGGCGCTGTCTACACCATTACCTTTACGACTACTTCACAAACCGGACAAGAGACGGCAAAACCGGCACTGTGCCGGCCACAGCAGCACTGTCCAATCAGGCTCAAGTACCCCAACTACGCTGTTCCTATAACACCCTTCACCGGCTGCACAACTGTACGTTAACATTACGACTTGAATGCGATACCCGACGGAGAATTAAGACCTAGACTGTATCGAAGTTTATCTCGCCGAAAAGAACTGTGCAGTGGGAGATGGGAGAAATATCCAAGACTTTGATCAGTGTCACCGACTGATTCACTGCTTTAATGGTCCCACCCCTGTCAGGAAATCGATGGCTCCCTGAACATCAGAGACATTCCGCCGAGTGAAGTAACAACGTTAATATCCCTGGGACCGACAGTAGTAAACACGACCCGCAGCACTCATCTTAGCTTTGTGCGTAGTCTATTAGAGGGGCTTGGTAAATGATTGAACGGGGGGTATCAATTCGCAGGTGGTCTGTGGTGACTATGCAAGTTCACGCGCGCAATGATTTAAACCACTCGCCTGCTTGTAATACGAAATGAGAAAACTCTGCAAGGAAAAGGCGGCGTGAATGGAATACAGTGCTACCAACAAGAGGAAAAAATAAATTGACGTCACCTGCAATCAGTCATCTACAGTAAATAATATGAACGCATGCCTCAAAAGTAACTGTACACCCCAATACGTTAGGCCCACTGAAGTACAACAGGGAGACTGAACGCAGTGTTGATAAGGCGCCAGATCTGTTATCAGATGTTTAGGTTAAGGGATATTTTACAAAACAAAAGTCGATAAAATGACAAGATTGGTTGGGAAAATTGACATGTTCCGAGAAGCCATCCTAGTTTTTCGTTAACCCATTTTGCAGGCATGATCATTTTAATTCAACATACCACAACCCGTGATTGCTACCTCTTCGGACCTTCTTCCCCCAAATTATAGAATATGTCACGGGAAACTAGACGTGATGAAAACGTATTTTTTTAGTCAAAGGAAAGCCGTGGAAGTATGTCGACCAGAATATTAACTACTGTAACCCACCGGCATCAGGTTCATCTCACCAGCCAGTCATTGGCATTTTCGGAGGAAAAGCGAGAGAGACAAAGATAAAGTAGAAATTACCATTAAAATCGACTGACAAAGCTCACCTAACCCAAACCAAAATGGCCAAGACGCGCTGCTAGCTCAATAGCGCAGCAGACAATTCATCCTCAAATCGCTGTAGCTGCATTTCACGCTCGTGTGGACAGGACTGTGGGCCCTGCAGAGGCCCGGCATACCCGGCCGGGTGTAGGCCAAGGGACTAGAATGGTTAGTTCTCGCAAGGACCACGGCAGCGTTCGGCAAGGCTCTGACAACCGGTCATTTTCAGTCATTCACATCTGGTACGGCGAGCGAAGTTGAAGTTTGGATTACTGTATAAAGCGCCTTGATTGGATACACCCAATGTAGCGTGAGATTCATCAAATGAAATTTGACGTTTTGTCGGACGTCATATAGCTTTCAGCGCGGAAACTTAGCAACGATTGCAATTTTTCCATCTCACAATGATAATTCTCAATCAAATCCTGGAAACGTTTTAAAATGAAAGGAAAGTTCTCAGATTAAACATAATTTCACATTGTTGTTATATTGGTGCATATTCAACATCACTACAACATGTACTGTGAAAACATCACCGTTCCGTATAAGATTGCAACTGCATCCTCATTTCAAATTAAATGAATGGAAACCAGCATTGCTAGAGAATTATTTGTTTGGCCAGGTCATGTGATGTTACCAAGTAAAATTATCTATATTGAGGATCAAGAAGGCATTCGACTCATGTGTGTGCTTGTGGTATATGATTTACCTCAATACCAAAAAACCTCTTCAGGCCTACGCGGTGTGTCTGGCAGTAAAGCGTAATTATATTATGGATATTACTTGAATAATACATGGGAACAAACATTATAAAGCGTAGGAAGAGATGCTCAGATGAAATGTATTAACTTAGCGATAATAAGCCCAGGGGTGAGAGACTCGTCATTTCACATCAGCTACGATGAAACGTACAGATGGCTTACTGTTTCCTCAAACAGATAATGTATATCGCATAGGTACTCAATCTAGAAGCATGAGGCTACAAATAAAGTGAGTCATAACAAAGCATGGGGATAACGTCTGGTAATGGTTGATGCATTAATGGACTTACGAACAGCTGTGGAACGAAAGCTGTCCTGTAGTATTTACACACGTGAACACTGTACATCGAACGACGTTTGCTACAGCCGGCGATCAATTTGCAAGGAATTCAACCGTGCTCTGCAATTGTTTTGGCTCAAACTTGACGCCATAGGTTAAGAGATAGTTTTGGGCAGTGGTTTTTTTGGTGTCTTTTATATTTGGGCAGAACATGTACAAATTTTATTGTCTGTTATACGGTGTTGGCCGGGAAACTGGTCGTTTACAACTACTGCAGGGGTGTGGCGTAGGCACACCAAGCAGAGAAGGCTTAGTTGACAACGCACGCTACAGAGAACGATTTCATGCACAGTGTCTGAGGTTATTGGCAGGCTGTACATGGATCTAATGTATCCTTCGAAAATTCAAGAAAATCTTAAGCATTCTGTATAACATAATCTTTAAGAAAAAAACTGACATGTTCATTTTGATGTGTACTGAATGCAGTAACCTGCAGCATTTTATGAAATACAGGCGTACACATTAGTGAGTGTTGACATCACAGACCAGCCAAGTACACAGGACACTAAGGAGAAGACAATTATAACCCTGTGCTAATTATGTTTCTTCTCCTATAAAGATCTTCCAACGATGGTCCGGTCAATCGTCAGGAAAGGAGTATAAAATTTCTTTTTTTTGGTCAAAAATGACAGCACTCTCAGCGGACAATATTGTCAGATAGTCCGATGCTGTTATTTTACTTATTTCACAGTGTGATGCATGTACCTACTGATAATTCAGCAGTGAAAAATGGAAGGGCTACGTACACTGTAAAAAAAGTTGGTCAAAACCGTGTTGGGCATTTGTTCTTTGCCCAACCTTGGTTAAAGTTTCCACATTGTTGGTTCATTTCCATCACTGTTGGTCTACCATTGACCAACGATTGGTAAGAAGTTGCCCAAGGTTGGGAAGTTTATATTTTTACACCAACATTGGGCAAAATATCAACCCAAATGTGACCAACCTTTTTAGACTGTAGGACCGTGATCAGACAAGAATATATACTGACGAGAATATAATATAAAATCAGTGCCCTGGAATATGTGATTGCAATTATTGAAATCAATGCACTGATTTTATATTTTATTCTCGATAATTCGGCAGTGCCATTTTCGAGATTTGACAAATGGTGTATACCACCTTTAAATCTCATGGCAACACTGTTGTCATTGGATCTTTAAAGACGAGGACAGGAAAGTATACAGATTTCATTTGCGAATCGAGTTCATTTACTGAATTATTATTTTTTTCCGAGGGGATAAAACTCATCTTTTCAAGGCGTAGGCACGGAAATCAAATCTTGCCATTTAAAGTGATGTTAGAACTGGGTCTCGTCTGCCTTGTTCTCGTCGGGTTGGCGTTGCCAAGGCAACTAAGTAGACTAAAAACCATTTGAGGCCTGACTAATGGCAATGGCACACGTCTTCCCGCGCCTTCGACAGAGATGTTTCCGATAGGGCAAGGTTATTGTGTCTAGATGACGGATCGATATTAGCCAAAGCCCCGCTGAAACTTTCAGCTGACATTTTCGTCACATCCGTCGCTGCATGCTGTCAAAACCGGAACGGCACAAAATGGACAATATCACTGTGCCATAGACGCAAATGAAGCCGCCTAGACAGAGTATAAAGGGAAAAATCTATCCGAGAATTTTATAGTAATGTTCAATCAACTTTACCAGTTTGGGCAATGACTGAAAATAGCCGACACAGTGCATCGTTGTGTCTTGTATGAAGCAGTCACTGGTCACCTTCAAAAAAACAAAACATGCAGCGAAACCCCTTTCAATAACAGACAAGTGCTTGCAGTAAGTTGATGTTTCAGAAAGTGAGTATCCAAGAGCAAAGATACCCAACGTTGCGGGTGGGCAACACGCTGATCAAGCCATCTTAAAACAGGGAATTTTTTTCTATGTATTATTTTTGGCTCTGTTCCAGTAGACTCCCTTTGAGTTTCCTCTGTTGGTAATCTTTATGGTGAATCGCTCGGTCAAACATGTCAGTTTTTATGGGAATCGTTTCGACAAACGAATGAATTGTGGTCTGTCGTGTTTGCAGAAAAGGAAACATAATGTTGTTTAGTTAAGCCTCCTTCATCTGCTGGCATCTTGCATAAGTAAACTGACGCTTCTCGGTAGCTTAATGGACAGACCAACAGGACACTCGATTTCTCTGACATATTTAGCGATGTCTTTTCATCTTTTAAACCTCTGGCGGGACAAAAGAAAGGTTAATAGTAAACATGATTTTAAAAAAAAACACACTTTGACATAATGTTGAAAGAACGATACAAAAAATTAATAAACAGAAATGCCTCATTTCATATGCAGCTGGGGGAAGCGGGGGATGAGGCAACATGACTTGGTCCATGCAGGCCCCAGGGCCCAACCGATCATCGGGTAATCGCATCACTTCCTTGGTTGCCGTAGCAAGGATTGGCGGGAAGCCCAATCACACGCGTCCCTCGGGGGAAATCGCCGTCTGAATCGAATGTGAAAGTGGCGGGAACGAGAGATAGTCTCACGCAAAGGCACTAATTGCAAAATAATGCCCAGCCCTAATGGTCTTTTTCCGATCGATGCTGCGTGTGACGTCTTCGGGCTCCAGCTTCTACGCGCTTACGTGTCTGTCCTTTGATGGCACAGCGCAGCTTTATTTTCGCTTAGTGTTTACATGTACATGTACTTGAAGGTCAAACTTAGTTTTACATAGAATTACTTGTACCCAAATTACACAGCTGTGGCTTGAATCTACGATTTTATGGTACAAGCAGCAGCCACTTCCCATACAGTAATTTGGGCTAGGACTTATTTAAGTTGTCAGTTCACTTCGCTTTGCCAGTTTTTGCCGCTGGAGGGCGCCCATGTATGTGACCTTTTCGTGTGACCTTGGTGACCTGACTAAAACGCAAGCTGTACTAGTACTAAAGTGGTACCCTACACAATGATGAAAACTTCGGCCAAGATAACGTCTTGGCCGAAAGTTTTCATTTCTTTTTTTTTTTGCCAAACAATAATAATGTGGCTGTCCAAAATTACACCGCAGAATTATTGCTCAGAAGGCAACGTTAGCGGAATGGTTCGATTCCCGTCCGTTACTGGGCTTTCAACAACCACGATCCAGGTGTTTTTCCCTGGGATAATTTGTGTGTGATTTCCTTCAAGCCTCTATGACCTCAGTGTCTTTTCCGCACAACTGTCTCTTCAGGTTTCCGCTAGATCTTTGACGTCTCGATTGCACCACCTGAAAATTAATACGAATTGGTAACTTTTTTTCACCGTGCAGGTGTTTCTCCTGGTAGACGAAAAGCAAGCGTTGGAGGTCTTCTTCCCGATAACAATTGGAAACGTGCCTTACAAAGATGGCTCCAATAGACCCAAGCAGGTCAGCTATGGTAAGTTCTGCACAAGCCAAATGTAATTGGAGCGACGGAACTTTGACTTCGAGAAGGAAATTTGACACACAAAGAAAGACCAGCGACAGCACTTGGACTGCATGTTCCTCGGAAGCCAGGCAAAAGCAATATTGTGGAAGGAACAATAAAAAAAGTTACACCTGTATTTCTCTTTACAACACATAAGCCTACTAAAAGTTGTCAAAATACTTTCAAAAATATGCGGAAACATACGGCCCAAACGCCTTACATCAAACTTATGAGCCAAATTTAGATTTTAATTTATCCAAAGTAAAACAAATCACGCATCTTTTTTTCCGGTCATCTGCAGCTCGTAACGAGACTAATCTTCGTCCAAGGAGTGGTCACGCGGGCCTTGACCACACGCGTAACAGGTCATTCCAACAGTTCCCCCGGATGCAGGTGAACCGAAAAATAACACGATCACAATTTCGCGTATCTTCTCACCACTTCTATGCCAGGCACTTTCATGTGCTCTGAATTTCCTCGAGAGCCGGTAACTACGGCTCACGCTGGAGACAGAGGCGCAGTGGAGCAAATGGAGGAAGACTATGGGACAGCCGTCCCGACGGAGTAGTAACTCATAGCGCATATGCAAGCAAGTCACATTTGTCACGCAGTCCCGAATAAGAGCAGGCTTTTGTGGGTGAATTTGGGCCAGCGTCCGAGTCTTTCCGTGTACATAGTGAAATCAGGGTAATAAAGTCGAGAAAAATTACCGTTACAAAGAAAAATCAAGATGTATGGAGAGCGCCTGAACATTTGTGGATCAGATATAATCAGGCGAAATAAAGGATAATGCTTCACAGCAAATCAGCTATTTCTTGTAAATAAATCAAACCAATGACGAAAAATTGCTAATTTACCAGTAGCCATATCGTTAAGTATTACAGCAGCATCGATAGCATTGAAACATCATATGTCGCTCGGGTAAGAGTCGGTATTTTACAAATACATTTCATCTTTCAAACAACGTGTATTTTTTTCTGGAATTATTATCTTATTTTGGGTTGACAGGTCATGCTTGTCCACAGTCGTGTGGGTCCAACACAGGTTACATGCAGTACAATGATGGAGACCGGGTTATGCAAGTCAAACAGTTCACGCCGTTGTATCTGACCGCCTGTGCTGTCGTGGTCCAGGACAACGCTACGAGTAACGGTGCCGTACCGGGACACCATTCGTCATCCTCCGGGCAAGGCAATGGCTACCTACCGGGAAGACGGGCCAATGGACTGGCCAGGAACCCCCTTGACTCGCCCCCTAGCGATCAAAGTTTGTTGCACTCCCGCTCCAATCTGTCTTTGCACAGCGGCGTGGGCGGTGGTGTACACCAGCAGCTCCAGTTGGACGACCCTTCAGTGATTGCCAGTAAATCCAGCGGCAGCATCACCAAGTACATCACCACCAGCACCAACAACGTTCCGCTGAGCCGGAAACCCTCCAGCTCGGACATGAGCCCGATCTACCAGATCTCGGGCCAGGACAGGGCGTCGCTGGTCGGCACTGACCTGCACTCCGATGCCAACTGCACGGCCAGCGAGGGCACGACAGAGGAGGACCAAGAACTGGCCGAGGTTATGGCCCGACACCAGATTGACTACTATGCAGTAAAGCACGGCGAAGGAGGCCGGGTCTACGCCTGTCACTATGTATGACACACAATACGGCTGGCGTAGTAACTCTGTACATGTACTTACAGGTTGAACTTCAGTTCGACTTTTCTTTTTGCTCGATTCCTCAACTATTTTGATACAACAATATGAGGAGCTTTTTGAGAGGCTGCACCTTTCTCTTTTCAAATTTTGATACAAAGATTTTTTGAAGGTCGGGGTATTTCTAACCCTGGGAAAGCCAGAGAAATCGCCTCCTGAATACCGCACTTTGCTTTTCTGGTGCAAAACAGACCACATGAAATCAGCTCCTCTAAACAAAAATTAACCACAGGACACAATGCATTTGTTACTAAGTTTATTGATTAGTGCCACCTTCGAAATACATCTTTTAAGCGCCAAGTAAACATTGTCGTTCCATTATGGTCAAAATATGAATATTTCCAACAAGGATATATTCTTCAACAGTGAATCTCTTTGCAACATGGTGTGCTGGTATTACCAGGTTTATTAATTTACTGAAGTTGAATAGAAACACAATGATACACTTGGTCACTTGGATACGAGGATGAAACAGATTGGCACAATACCTTTCAACCCAAAACAGTTCAAGAAAAGCAGTATTCTATGCCAATGGTGCGAATTCTCGATTAAAAATGGAACCACTCTTTAGTCAAGTGCCCAAGGGAACCGTCTGATGTTCTCAGCAAACAGAATGTAAGTGTCCCTTTTCAACGCGTTGCAAACATTATCATTCCTGAATTAGTACAATGTACCTGTCTCCATTAACACTTCATTAATCGGTCAGGTCAAAATATTTTGGATTTGGAATATTCCTGCCGTCTTTGATAAGGTGAAGAGGAAGATTCCCTGGTGGTGGATGACCTCTTCATATGATATCAATTTCCAAACCACCGACACTGTTAATGTAATCAAGACGCCGGCGCTAACAGACTGCATCGGTAGTGCTCAAATCCTTAAATCCACGTTCAAAGAAAGTGATCGCTGACCAGTTTCTCCCGAGACTCGCAGTTAGACGTGGGACGAGGATGGTTGAAGCGAGGATGTCCTTTGATGCCTACAAGTTATAGCAACAACAGATCAGATGGGATGCTGTGGTCAAACAGATTTGGCACAAATCTGAGGGAGATTCAAGTGGCCATTTCTGAAGATGAGTCTTTTCCACAGAGTGTAAATGAGACGACAATGCATATCAAACACAACCGTCTGTCTTGTGTGGACGACTTAATCTTCAAGCTGTGCATTTCATCAGGCTCAACGGCTTAAGGAAAGAAGGAAGAACAATCAATGCCAATGATGTTTGGGGTACAATGCCTTCACGGGCAAAACACTAATTTTACCTGCCGTTTTTCCATCAAGGAATTATTGTTTGGAGTGTGTCATTTTTACAGCCCGTTCCCACTTGATCCACATATTGGGGGATCTGATCCACCTTTTGTCAAATTGCCGGATCAGATCTCCCAACTGATGGATTTGATCCGGCAATTGTGTGTAGTGGGAACGCTAACTGTTATACGGTGGATCAGGATCAGATCCACCTTTCTTGATCCTCCTCTGGAGCAGGATAAAGATCCCTCAATTGGTGGATCAGATCCTGCAATCGGCGGATCACAATTAATGCTGGTGAGGTTTCGGGTACAATGCCTTGGCTGACCACAATCAAAGTTTACGTGAACTGTTTCATCACAGAATGATAATTTGGTTTCGAGTTCCGAGTGTGATTCACTCGCATATAATCAATTTCAATTAATGTTTCACACTTTCCAACTTTAAACAATTACACCTTGAACAACCAAGTTGCAATGTATTTGAAATTTGCCATTAGTTCCATGTACAGCACGGCCAAAATGGCCGTGCTGCGAGGGGAATTGTAAAGAGACAGCTGAAAATACATTGGGAAAAATCCACATGCCCTAGCGATTCATGGTGAATTTGTACAACTGTTGGTGCGTAAAACTACATCTGAACGGCGTCAAAAACATTACTCCCACAGTGCATATATATCAGGCTGATGCAAAGAGTATTCACAATTCAACGTGATGTGCATCAACTTATGCACGTACATGTACATGTACACGTAGGCTACATTTGACAATCTGACATCTGGAAAATCTCCAAATCACAAACAAGAATGGACAAATGGCTTTCTCTGGCTTTCCTTAAACAACGAAGACTGCCACAGTTAAAGTTAACGTTTTATCACAAATGTTGAGTTTGGATGACATGACACTTAGTTAATTGGGAAGTATAGAGTCTATTGTGTACGAATTGATGACGACCGTTCAGAAAGATTTGCCTCATGCTAAGCTCGCCAGAATCTGGTCTCCGATCCGGAAACATCCTGCCTTCATTATGCACAATTAAGCTGATTACTCACACACTGTTCAAGGAAAACAGTTTTAAAGTGCCTTTAAAATATTTAGTTATTATGAATAAATCTTGTCGACAACCATTGAGCGCACTTCATTGTAATTAGAGTAGATGACATTATAAATGCAGTGTAAGAGTCCCTTACTGATCAGTGCATGAATGTATGGGGGAACCGATCGTAAAAAATATTTTGAAATCGGAAAATGAACCTTTATTGAGCATGATCATATTTCTCGATGGAGAAAGTACACACTGCACTCTTTCGAGCGAGACGCGTTGAAGTAATTATATACAGCTCAAAATGCAGTCGCCTTTGGGGCCTAGGAAAATTAATGCCTTCACGGGGGATAAGCGGGTACATGATGACAGGTGGGTGGATACGAGTGTGATTTCTATGTGTGTGGGGGAGGCAGAAGGCAAAGACGACTTGCCAGATGTGATTTGCCCTCAAATGAGCAGCTACCCACAGAACAGGCAAGTGACCAGACTAGAAAGGTGGCCACTGTGGATAGTATTTAATACACCATAGACTAGGAGACCACGGTGTTTACTGGCTAAAAGACATGTTGCTGCGATCTTTGGACACGCAGTATGTCAAAACGTGGCTGTAATGCGCACGTGGCTGATTTGTCAAAAAGGACGCAGTTGGCTATCCCTGAAACACTTTTCTGTTCCGTGACAAGTGTTTCGCCTTTTCCTGACGGAGTTGTATACCGGTACGTAAACGATAAATCGTCCGCTGTTCCTTCCATTAAATGCTATTTTCATATCATATCCCTGCAACTATTTTATTTGTTTCGTAGATGTCGATGTGCAAAATGGCGGTTTCAGCTTGTCATCGTGTGAGGGTTATGTGGCTAGTGTCGGACAGTATTTGGTTTAGGAACTTGTATTTCAGGTCTGTCAAGGAGATGGACGATGACTGAAATCAGTGACTTTAGTGGATGGATGGTGAGAGATGGACGCGGTTGCGTGCACTGGGCGCGCGGCAGAGCTGGGAGAGGTGAATGGTCGAGATAGGAGTGGGTGATTAGTATGGTCGAGTTCAGGGTGTATATGGACTGGGGACTAATTGATGGGTGAAGATGAGTCATAGGATGCGACTGGTTAGCTAGTATTCGATGGATGAATTCAGAGTAAATATCTGTGTGGATTCTCTTCAGAATGACTGGTTGACGGATTGATGACCTAATTGAATAACCTAGATTTGTTTTGTAGGTTGCTCAATTGATTGGCGGGCTGGTTGATATTTAAATCCATCGGGTGGTGTGTTTTTTTTTTAATTAAGAGGTTGGTTGAAGGGCTTATTTATTTACAGGCGGACTGGTTGTTTGGTTTGTTGGCCCATTGGTCAATAGAAGGGGAGAGAAACAAAATATACAGATGGGTGGTGAATTTGATGAAAGGTGAATAACAGTTGTGTGAACGAATGCCGGAGTCGACAGGAGGGTCGGATTCTTGGATGGGAATATTGAGGAATGGATTGAAATGATTTACAGATAGCTACATGGAAATGATCAGTGCCGCGTTGACAGGTTATCGGGCAGAGCGGATGTTAGAGCAAAGTAAAAGGAAACGATGGGCCGGCCGGAAGCAGAGATATATTTTGTAATTTGTATAGTGATGACGAAAAACATACACGGGTCGCAAAGGTATAATGCAACACACTGTCGTTCGCATCTGTGACTATATATCTGTACCTGAATTGTATTATAAGGAGAACCCAACTTTACAGATGTAATTTCATAGATACAGTACTTAACCTTTTAATTGTAAAGGCAAAAGGAGCTGGTAACTACCCTTCATTCCCATCTTTGTACAAAGAATTTCGATTAACAATTACGAACATAAATAGGGAACTATCAAGGAAGATCAGGTTTTTTCTTCTTTAGGGCGTTCAGCACCCTCCAACAGTAAGATGATCAGTTCTAAGGATCTTGTAGCTTCGGATGGAGAAATAAAATACTGTTTTAGAAGATGAGAAGGGCCAATGGCTAGACTGTTGAGATGACCTCACAAACTGGACGGATAGCAGGGCACACGTGGTTCTGCATGTAGAATTTATTTCTGGGATTGTTTTTCGTTCACTGAAAAGTACAATCATGGCATTTTTGAGAGTCACTTTTTTGGCAACTACGGATGCTGAGACAGTTTTCCAAAATTTCGTAATGTGCAGTTACTTGGAGAGAGTTTTAACACAATGCAGAAACAGCATTAATTTAAGCTGGAGAACCACGTCGAGCAAGGCTGACAGTTTGAGGGCGTCCACATATAGTCTGACAGAGTGTAGAAATAAAAGAAAAATAATGGAAAATGGTTGCCATGGTATATTGCTAGATACGTATGGTGCTCAAAATGATCTGCAAACAATTATTACATCAAAGGTGGTTATTTTGTAGAATGTCGACAGCGAGGAAGTCATCAGGCGGGATCTGTTTGTTTCGTTTCTTTCACCATCGGTAATAACTGACAGAGAAGTTAAAAAAACCGAAAAGAAAGAAAGACGGCACGGTGGTTGCAAATGTGTCAGCACTTACTGCATGAGTTTCATTAACGTTCGCACTGCCACATTGTTTTTGTTGATTATCGTTGGAAATGTTATCATGTTATACCTGTACATTGATTTTTACGTAGAAATACTGTAAAGTTTATTTATAATATCAGTAAGAAAAGGTTGGCACAAGTTTACGTGCAGTTGACTATTTTTCAGTATTTTCAGAAATCTATCTTATGTTATATGCATTTTATAAACAGCTATTTAACCCTAACCCTCCTTAATCCTTCACCTGTTGGAGGATTGAGGAAGGTTAGGGTTAAGGAAGAAAGTGCACGTAGGAAAACGCAAAGTGTGATGAGATGATGTTATAAACATGTTTTTCAGACGGCTTCTATGCAACCAACCAGTCAAGTCATTAACGTGGTCAACTCGGTCGTTTTACAAAAAGTTAATTAACCAAAGCCAAGTCGTAAACGCGAGTTGTGGCTTGTTCCAGTCAGCGACTGCTACTCAGCACAAACGTAGACTACTAAGTAAAGAAAGTATCTGCTTATCGAGAAAACACTAACCCAGCTAGAAAGTCATACCATGTGCCTTGCCTATGACTGGTTCCCACTCCTAAGCTAATACATGTGCTATATGGCTCGTATTCAGTGGCAATGGGCCAGATACCTACATCACTCCCTCTCTGCTCATGAGCGGGTCAAGATAATTTTACAAAGCAAGTTGTGCAAAGTAATTTTCCTCTATATGGATGTATGTATGCTTTTCAATTTATGCTTGCTGAATTCTTCTTAATGTCAACTTAAAATCTTTCTAAGAGTAGTATGATTAATGGTCAAATCTTATTTTCCTTCAAAATCAAATAAATCAACGTTTCAAAGGAAGATTAACCTTTCATATTATTTTTGCCGAACAGAAAATCGAGGACTAAAGAGCATTCTTTACCAGCGTACTGAATAACTGTATTTTGAATGAGAATGTCTTATTATACCCACTGAAGTAAATAATAATATGTACAGAGATTCTGACGTTCATTAGGTCAATATTCTAAGTGCACGTTTTTATTGAACTATTAAATTAAGTTTCTGAATTTATTGAATTATTGAATCCCAATTTGGAAGTGTTGCAATTCAGCCATACTCTACGGTGCAGATGTAATATATGAATGGCACGCAATTACGTCCAGGGATAACGGCCTTGGGTAAATGAACGATGAACATGTATGTGCCTCCTCGGCAGTTGTCATTCCTGATGATTACGCCCTCCCCCACCCCCAGTTTTTCCCACTTGGGGATTCTTCGCTGTGCGTCACCAGATGAAAACCAGTGAAAGTTAAGTTGAGTCGGTCGATGTGCCTCAATGCCTTAGGTCTCTGTCCCCAAGCGAGGAAGATTCAGCGGGTAAACACAGCCCCAAGATGACAGAGTGCACAAATAAAAGGACCATCGAAATCTGGTCCGGAAAACAGAAATACCAGAGTATCTCAGAGGGGGGATGTTAACGGAGAGTGGCATTTTGACTTCAGGTTTTCCGTACAATAAATTTACATTCGAACCAAATTGAAAAAAACAATGAAAACCAAACAAACCTCTGAAATCGGGTTAATGCAGGAAAACGTACATCTGAGAAACACAATTGATAAACCGGTAGTGAAACATTTGGGGACTACATGTTATAAATATACCACTGCAGTTTGTGTGAACCTGCATGTATTCTAGGAATTCATTTTGACAAAAATGAAAAGTAAAATGGGTTCAAATAAAACGCCTAAAACCTGTTTGTACAATGTGAAAAGCTTTGACTGTCTTGCACTGGGAAATCAAAAGCCCAGACAAAATGAGAAACCCAAAATTGCTGACAACAATCTTTCTTGCATTCTTTTCGCATGGCCTTTCCAGGTTTTTGTCCACAGTAATTGAACAGAATTACCTGAAGATGCCGAGATGTGAAAAATCCACTGGATTCCCGAGTAACTACAGAAAGAATTTCCTCCGACTTGTCTCCATTTCATGTCTCTGTAAACAAGAGAATTTTATTCAAGAGAAATCAGAATAGATTTTTTAATTGTTAATTTCAAGGGAAAGTGGAAAGAATATTCCAAACAATAAAGAGACTATTATGCACTATACCTCAGTAACTGAAGTATTTATCAACTTGAGATTAGAAGTTGTCCGTGTTTTAACTTTGAACAAAAACCTGACGTCATTTCTATTCCAAATAGATTCTCACGTGTACGAAGGACAATGAAGCACTTCCAATTAACACGGCAACTTCATATGATTTCAATGTTAGCCTTCTTCCACTGGATGCCACTGAATGCCTAACGTTAACATGAAAGGCTTTTTACCAAATGGAAAAGGGCATAACTCAATAAAAGGCTCTGCTTAAAGAGCAAAACATCAACATCCACGTACATGTAATGCAGCATGGCCTTTCACAAGACTCTGAAACGGCAGCATGTATCGTGCATGCCTTGCACGATGCTCCATGTATACATGATGAACAAAAGGGATATTGTCAAGAGTTGTATACATGTATTGTATTTTGTCTTACTCCTTTTTGTGAGAGGAGCAACCTTGATTTTTATTTTTCCAAATATTTGACTGCTGCCTTGAGCTCATGAGCAGAGAGGCGGCATGACAGCCTTTTTTTCCATATGATTTTTTTTTCTTTCCTTCATTACAATGAGCCATCCGCCCACACACAATTAACCGTCGCCATTTTCCCCGCGCGTTGCCAAGGTGATGCCTTTCTTTTTAAAAATCCTTTTGCTAGATTACCATGACAACATATCACTCCATTTAACTGATAAGAACAACCAGTGGCGGGAAGACAACGAGCGCGTCATTCAGTCAATTGACGTGAAAAAAAGGTTCATAGGTCTACGGGGCTGGTCCTGGCATTGTACATGTACATAAAAAATAAATTGTGATACTATTGTATGGATAATGAATGTACTACAATTGAGAAAACATTACTGTGGCGGAACCATGCTTGGAACGTCAGGTGTGCATGCCCATTAAATGCTCCTTTGACAATAAGGCGTTAACAGTTTGGTGGTACGCATGCCTACAGTGCCTCCGGTGGAAGCAGGCAATGCGACGTGCAGTTGAGTATTGACACCTCTTCGGAATGAGGCAACAGGCTGATTTTATGCATGACTCCATTTATGTTTCCCCGTCAGCAGTGTACAAAGTACATGCCCACAGTTGATTGCTGGTTGAAGAATATTTTCGGTGACTGCCGTCATGTTAATCAGCGCACTGCTTACTGTCACACCCTTTCAAATCTCCATTTATCATGTCTATAGCAGTGAACAAGCTAAAAGATAGCCCAAGATAAACAAAATACATTGCTTTCCACTCAATTAGTCTGCTCTTGTAATTACATTTTAGTTTCGTAATGGCGGGAAAAACAATTAATTTCATACATAGTTCAACATGTAACCAACTTCCCATTATGTGTGTGCAATTAAATGAAGAAATTGCAGTACAGAAATAAATTCACGTCGAACACATCAATTGTCACCTGTTCTGAAAAACTGTACTGTGTGAAAAAAAGGCACAGAAAGGTGACTTTTAATCAGAAAACATTGTTCATAAACTCAAGGAACAAATGTAATACAATGTACACTGTGCATGTATATATTTCCCAATATAATGCCAATACGCAGGTGGTGTACAGCCGCAAAAATACAATCTTCTTCACACTACATGGTGTCTATGTACGTCCTAGGCAATAGCATATAAATCTATACACAGTATAACTTCAAGTAGAGCAGAAGGGGTGTGCCTATTATTTGGATGTTCAACTGACGATCAAACAATCAAATATTTATTTTCAAAACCAAATACTGTGAGGTGATAATCAATGAAATTAAAGAAAATTCACTCATTTGGTTACAAACTTGTATTCTCCAGCAAATTTCACGGTAATAAAAGCTGAACGCATATACGCCTAACAGTAACCCAAACAGTACTTTTATTTTGCTTTTTTAACTTTTTTAGACACGAATTTGTTTCTGCCTTTGTTGGAGTTTGATACAAATGAATATTTCAATATTTGAGAGCTTGATTATTCAAATTTATTATGCAAACCAACCCTGCCATAAGCAGGAGCATTAAATGGTAGAGTGGTACCCACTTTATTCACGCAGGGTGGAAAACATAACAAATGAATGATTCAAAATCTTCTCCTGGAGAGAAGTTTTTCATTAGGTGGCAGATCGAATGTTCCACTTAGCTTCAAGTAATCATTGCTCTCATCGAGACAGTGTACAAGTAGATATCTCTGAATATGAAGAGAGACTGAAAATTTGCGGGGGGAAGGAAATACACAAGCATTGTTTAAAGTGACGCGCATGTTCACAGCACTGATCGACGCACTTGATGTTTTTGTAAAAGGTGCAATGGTCAGGGCTTTTCTATCAGGAACTGACAAGTGAAGCCTTGATAACAAGAACAAAATGTCTGACTTACCTTATGTACCCATTCGTATTCGCCAAACTTGGTGTCAAAAGTGCCCTTCTGAAGGGATCGTAGCTTGAGGGTGAACCTTGGACCAAGTTCTTGAAGGCCCACCTTTTTGGCATTCCGAAAGATGTACCTGGAGCACACACATGAAAAGTTCCTTTCGAATCGAAATTCTACAACTTTTTTTGACCAACTGTGTAAGTTTTCTGGCTAAGACAACTGTTTGCAAACTTTACAGCATTAAATCAAAGAGAATACAAAATAACTCGGCTCAAAAATGGAAAAATAACAAAGAGAAAGAAAAGGCATCGGATGTCCGTCAAAATACATTTAAATCGCAGCTCAGTCAGACATTCATACAGACATTCATACAACACATCACCACAAGCTTACAAAGGTTTTTTGTGGAGCGCTGAAACATTCACACATAGATTAGGGTTTGAATTGACCTCTTTTATCCAAGGGCACATTATTCCAACATCTGTCAAAACTAAACCTTGGGATCTGCAATGTTTACGAGGATTCTTACTCTGGGAACAAAGACTAAGATTGTTCCACTGGCTTAATGCGGTTCATCGAGAGTACTAAGCAGCGCAATGCTGAAGTTCCCTCTCCATTTGCTTCAGTACTTTTGACGGCCAGTGGATGTTGACTCTAACCATTAATGTCAACTGCATTATCAGATCTGCCCTCAGGCGACAAAGGAACCGTGTGTCATCTGTCTCAAGATGTTGAGGGATAAAAGGAAATGTGGAATTTGTTGGAAGGACAAACATGCCCTGAAAACTCTAGCGAAGCTGAGAAAACATGATTATGCCCCCCTAAAAAAGAACCAACTGTACAATATATTCACCGTAGGATTGACAGTAGGAATTGAAATGGACGAAAGATTTGCTGGTTCTAAAATCGGATGAGATTCCACGACTTCGGCATGTTAAATGAAACCCAATTGGAGGGAATAAATGCATTACTCCCAAGGCAGATATAATAATGGTGCATCTTGTCATGATGTGAAATCATCCCGATGGGTATAGTTAGAGATCTATCAATTTTGCTCTTCAAAAGTGACTTACAGTTTGGTTTCAAATAACACATGCATGGCTTTTTGTAAATTTGAAGCTTCTGAGTCCGAAATCCTGATTTCACATCTCAACCAAAGTGTAAAAAAAGCCTTCCCAAATCAGACGAATCAATCTGCCTCTCAAAAAGATTTAGTCATTCAACGAACCTCATAAAAGCCTAAAAAAAAATTGAAGTCGGAGTCCTCATTACCTGTGGTGTCTGAAGAAAATGAAATCTCTCTGGTTGTGAAACGTGATGACCCTTCGGCCAACAAAGTCAGGATCGTGAGGAAAGAGGGCAGCAAGCAACCGCCCCACACTATGCCCTAGTCGCGTGTTGAAGTTGTTTAGGATTAACTCCGGCTGGTGGTCTGTGGTTTCGCCACATTTCTGGTTCGAGAAAAGTCAGACAGAGGTGTCAATTCAACATTTTCACAGAGATTCAACTTTCAGTGAAAATCACGGCATTGTTTCTTCTGAAATTTATAAGAAAAACTCTTCACCGCACACTTGGCTGTGTTGAGTTCTCAACAACCCGACGACTGAACAAACTGGCTACAAAGGAACAACAGGGGGCAGCATACTCGCCTTAATCTCTTTCCTTAGTTTGACATTGGAAAGTTTGAAATGTGCCGTCGGCCCATTAGGTAGATGGCACACCAACATGGCATCTGGGAACCAAGATAAAAAGAAAGCAACACAAAAATTGATGAAATAATAAAAAAAAAAAAAGTGATTACACACTCTTTATCTAGAAGGACTTTGGACTGCTTCAGAAGAACATGGCACTATAAGAATAACCTGAATTTCAGCAACAATTAGACATTGGCTGACAAGTAAATTCTCAGTGATTAAAATCCTGAGATTACTCACAGCCAAATTTTTGAAATCGATGGCCCCTGGTTCCAATTCAAGTTTACATTATACCAAGTATGTTGGTGGAAAATGTAAACTTTAAAACATCAGCCTTGTCAATTTGTGTAACGGGAATGTAACTTGGACTTTGATAAAAAAAAATGAGGAAATGCTACTCTTTAAAAGACTTTGTTGTTTGTCAATTGTCAATAGCATGAGTGTGAAGGGAATAATGAGGAAATCGGCTGATCTGAGAAAAAGTTGCACGCCTGTTGTAAGAAATGGGGTTTATACATTCTGCCTGTCTAATAATGGAGGACACATGGACAGGTGCCAATATCGGACACTAAACCAGTAACATACGAACTAATCTAGGTAATCAGCAACGGTTTAATTAGGCAGGCCCCCAGTAATGGCAGAAGTGCTGTCACGGCCACTGTTCAGACAAGATACATTCATGGGTCTTTTATTTTGTGAAATAGCTGGCAGTGTTCATGTGCCTATAGAAAGAGGCCTGGTGACTGTAGGTAATTCTCCACCAAAGGTACACCTCCAATCTGTTCTTTTTCTGAGTAATCAGAAAGCTGGTTTTGTACAGAACCAACCTGAGAGGCCATATTCAAATCCATTACAAGATGTTCCACATGTCCTTTGATGAGTCCAATCCGAAGTCTAACCATAAGCAGCACATTGATTGAGTTCAAGTTCTTTTGAACAGCTTCTGCATAATTCTCTGCATATACTATGTGCCGTGGTAGCTTTTGACTCGAAACTTTACGACTTGTCACAAACTTATGATGGATATGTAGGGCCTTCCGGCAACTACTGAAGACTGGACTCAAAATTACGGCCTCTGCCCATGGTGGCAGCTGTGCCACATCAACTCCATCTGCCATGTCTGTTGTCCTCTGTCATGCGCATCCATGTACACTGAGGTTTCAAGCAAGGAACCACGCCATGATCTAGTTCTCATCTCTTGTGCCATTTGCATGATATCACATTGAAGGTCTTTTGTACAAATCAGTCCCTGAGTGTACTCAAAATGGTGACAGGTGAACCAAACAAGTGTTCTCATACAGAAGTGACGCTCAAAAAATTGACCCTAGAAAATCAAACAAAGAAAGAAATGTACACGGGAAAAGGAATCTTGAAAATGAAGGATCTTACCAGGTAACTTCTTGTTGCCGTTGATGACAATGAGGTCCGTGAAACCCCTCTCTACAGCCTGCGGGATAACCTTCTTGAGGGCTGAGAGACGCCGAGGATAGATTTCAGAGTTTGGGATACATGACTGCAGCTGCCGACACAGGACTTTGCATTTCTGTTTGGAAGGAGAGTTGGAGAGAGGTCTAAGGGTAGATTCAGGAAGGGGACTCCCAAAAAAGGAGCTGAAAAAATTTTTTTTGAAAAGAATGAGTGTGGCACTTTTAAAGAGCTCAAAATTTTAGCCCCATCCCTGATATATTTCTTTCAAGGTAAGAATAAAAATACAATTTGCCAAAAAAACCCGCGAATGTCTCGAGACCTCTTGGCAATGAACCAATGAATCTACTTACAAATCTTGATATATCAGATGCTGTAATGAGGACTTTGGGCAGGGTCTGACGGTTGAAGTAGGGTGCCATCTCATCATGTTCTTCATCATGGGCCACCTGCATGAAATATAACAGAACAGTGCACGTAGTAAAAACCTACGCCTCCTTGCAAAGAAAGCTGCGGAGAAAAAGCAGAGTTTAAATCTGCTGCAAATCAGAAGCATGTATAAGCCTTAAAACCTTTCAAGCAAGTTTCCACCATGAGATGCAAATACCTCACCATGAAAACAGAAGACAAAAGATCATAGATTTCCTTGTGACTTGTGTTTTTCTACAAGTACGTAGTCCAATGATTGGCAAAGCTGCCTGATGGATTCAAACTCAAACTGTATGCATTCAAAGGAGGTTTCCTACTTTCACAGATGCATTCCAGTGGGCTAAAACTAGATTCATAAGAACAATATTCTCAAGAAAACTGGATGTCTTGGCATCTACATGTACCTCTTCATCTTCTGGATCCACCATGGTTTCATCATATACCCTCATGTTCTCGATAGTCTTTGGGGCCTTCTTGGGCGGAGCCTGCAAAAAAACACGACAAATTAGAGTGAACACAGGAACTCTAACTCTAATTTCTGTAATCCTGGTTTTTAAAAAAGCTTTGAGTGGCAAAGAAAAACTTTTCAGCAGAATAAAGAAGTTTCACATTTACTGTCTCTGGACACTACTGTCTAATAGAGATGCAGGTAAGAACATGTACGCAATGTCAATCCGGAAAAATGTGGAAAGTCACAGCTCATCAACACCCTTGGTGATGGTTTCTCCTGAATTTCAACTTTGGCAATCTCACCGGGGATGCTAAAGCAATTGAAGTACATGTAGTTAGGGTTCATTTGTAAAATATTGGCATAAATACATGTTGGAAGGAAAACTAGGACAAAGCATGTTTGTAAAAGATGGAACGATTTTGGTCACTAGTAACCAATCAATGAAGTGGTACATTCCAGTTTCCTAACAGGCAAATTGCAAACCTTCATAGAAACTTGACATCTTTACCTTGCTACCTGAAGCCTTTCTCTCCATCTTCTTCCGCGCCTTCTCTTTCAGTTTTTGCTATTGATAAACGGAAATAAAAATTGGCAATGAAACTCAACGCAGTGTCAGTGTTATTGCCTCGGCGACATGTACATGTACATCACGGCAAAGTCCCAGTACTGAAGTAATTATAAAACGCATGCAGAAAAATAACGGGAAATAAAAAAGCAACAGCTTACTATGATGGTGATTTTGCTGGTGATGTTGGCATTTAACAAATCACATAAAATGGCTGTGTTGGCTAAAGGCTAGTCTAACTTACATTACAAGGACTCTTCAAAATACCAATTTACCAATAATTTTAGTTATGATCTGGAAATAAAAGAGTACTACAGGTTCCTGGTATACTTGCATCAACCTAACATGAAACTTAAACACACTGCTCGAGGAAACCTTGTTTTGAGGTTGGGAGCCAAAAATACGGTCGGTAGGAAATGAGAACCACAAAATTAAAAACAGGTGCCATAAGTAGTAAGTAAAAGGTCTGAATTTTGCCATTTTGATGAAGGAAAAAAGACTACAAAATACCTGAATAACGTGAGTGAAATCATTCAATAAATGGTATTTAGAAAACGGAAAGGTCAAGAATCATGTTAGTGTGCAAAAGAAATTGCGCCCACGATTATAAGTTGGTGCGCCAAAAATGTTCATATCGCCGACACGAAATTGCGCATACGGATGTGTGGCTAAGGATGGATCGGGAGTGAGAGTCCGTGCCACACTAGTGCTACCCATAATCATGATGACCCATTGCATTGGTACCAAGCCGTGTGGACAGGCAGTAATGAAAAGGAAAGTAAGGCCTATACCTTTTTCAACTGAGCCTTGAGTTTTCGGTATGCTTCCGACCTCTTCTGCTTGTTCTTAAAGCGGGAGATGTTGGCTTTGGGGATGTCAAGTGACGGTGGTTCTGCCGCCATGCTCTGCGACGTGCTTTCGTCTGCGTGCGCCGCCATTTTGGAAATTACCAGAGTGCGCCCTCTCGCGCCTTCCTTCACTGTCGCATTACTTTGTTATCAGTAATAAAGTTCCGATCGTACGCGCATACGTACATGTACATGTACAGTAGGCCCTACATCATACCTTGTAGGACGTGGGTTATTCTTTGACTCGCTTTCTTTCACTTTGCTTTGTTTTGGTGTTTCTTTTCCATTTTGTTTTTATCCTTTTTTGTGTTTTGGTTTGGTTTAGTAAGGTTTATTTATTTATTTTTTGGCACTTTTTAAAAACTTGATTTAATTTGTTTGGTCCTTGTAATTAGTGTAGGCCTCATGAAAAGCACCGAATCAAACAATTTTTCTACTAACTCAGCTCCAGCACGATCTGCCTGCTGCAGGGACACAGAATCACGTTTTTTTCCCTCCAATTGCCGAACAGGAACGGATCATCTGGTTCCATCCACCATCAAGAAGATCTGTGTCAAATGATAATCCCTGCCCATACAGGCTTATGAACAACTCGAAAGAAGAAAATTGTTCATTGAAGCGGCAAGTAATGAATGTTCTTCACACTACTCGCTCCTTTACCATGTACCAAAATAATCTATTGTACCGCAGTCCATGCAGGTATGAAAATTAATGATGGACACTGATTCTCCATAACAAGGGCCTTGACTGCCCCACGGCACGAGCTCCAAGTCCACAGTGTAATGACCTGCGGATTTATCGATTTATATACGTCATGCAGAACAAACATGCCAGTGTAGCAATTCGCTAATTCGCCCCGAGTTGATTGAAGTGCACCCCCACTCCCGCAGGCGGCAAAAGGAAAGACAGATGGTAGTAAGTGTTCCAATCGGGTTCAATCTTGCACGCGTTCTGCGCGTGTACACAAAGACCATACATTAAATTAAGGAAAGAATTCAATACTTGTACTCAGTGTCCTTCGCGTGAAATGCACCATTGATCTCGCAGAAATATAAACGTTTAAACCCACATAAAATGCTGACCTTGGAAAATAATTATAAAAGATAAAAATTATAAAAATAGACTTTACACATAACTAAAAGAGCTTGCTGCTGCGTCTGAATTGGTCTTAAAAGATGTTTACAAATAATGTCAACACTTCGATTATCAGTATCAATGATAGCCCTACGTGTAGTGTAAAATCTTTTTATACTACGCGTGTACGTAAGCCTCATGCGTATGTAGTATTCGCTCATCGCGCAGCTCCTTGTTTGGATTCGACACTGGCCTAAGGAAGGGCTGATGGCTTTGCACTGCGACTGGCTACCTTGTGCACGACGTCCGACCACGAGGTTATCACTTTCTGTTCTTAGCGAAGTGCTGTTAATGTTTTTAGTTAGCCAATGGCAATGTTTTGGCATGGACGAAACTGTTGACTTATTATGATGAAAAGTAGTTCTTGGAACAATCACGGTAATTTATCTCCTTACTAATCACGTGTCTTTGGCGATAGATTTCAAATCACTAGTTAATTTTGATCAGTTTTGGATAAACTAAATTTGTAATGAGAATATTTTCAGCAGTGTGGAAGAAAAAGAAAAAAATATTGAATTGATAACCGCCGCTTGTCTGACGCATTGAGCGAGCTTGCGCACCTGGCAGAAATTTACTCACAATTCGTGACCCCGTGTGACGTATTTTCTTCACTAACTTAATGTGTGCAAGGCGGCCAACCCCGTTCCTCCTCCCTTGTCCGGCGCTGGGCGACCAGCGAATGTGTAGTAGTGATTGCGCCCTCTACAATTTGCAACCTCTGACCCTCACTTCACGGGTTCCTGCGCTTTTCAAGTCCGTTTTTTGTGAACGAACTGAAATTTTCCATTACTGGACGTACTACATGCGTACAAGATCAAGACGGTGTAGCTGGTGCTGGCTTCTCGCAACTATTTCACCCTATTTGAAGGCGCAACAACCTGTCTCCATACTCTACACGGGTCGCTTCAGTTCGGATCCTGAGTGTGCAGGTCTACGTGTACACGTAAGTAGTTTAGGCCTATTAATTAAAGAGAAGCTTTCCACTCAGATCGTTGCCTTGTCAAACTCAGAGTTATTTGTGGAGTTTACTGCCAATAGTTGACGACTGAAAAGTGCATGTATTCCAGTAAATTACGATCATGTTCAATTTCTACACATCGGTCTGGTTTTTCTAAACTATTCCTCATCATATGTTCATGTGAATAGTTTTTTAACTAATGTTTCTGTCTCACAAATGAAAGGAGAATGGCTGGTAAATGTTTAATGCTGTTATCGGTGAAACTAAAAGAGAATTGGACACTCAGGTTTTCCATAAGAACAACCATCTCGATGCCGTGCATGCAAACGTGTGTACATGTACCATATACATGCATACACTGTACACGTACGTGGAGTGCAAATGTCATAGGCTACCGGTACAATACGTTCATGTCATGGTCAACCGTCCGTAACTTTAGACCGGTAAAGCTGGCGAGCCTTGAACTCCTGCCTGACTGACAGAGACGTGACATGCCCAAGCAGAATATCTGCTGTCTGTATACATTGAAAAAAAAGAGGACAAGCAGTGACCTCTTTGCAGTCATACAAATTAGCTCACTCGGCAGACACGTCAAAGTCCAACCAACATGCATGGCATGGCATTTGACGCTGTACATATATAACGAAAATAAACTAGAGCTATGCGATTAAGCCTGTCACAGCCGCTGCACTGAGTGTCTTGATCGTATCCCGGACATGTTACACCTGCAAAGTACAACCTTATTAACCCTGAAGTCTTAAACAGGAACAATATCGTGCACGAATGTAGGAATTAACAATTATTTTTCGTTTATTTAAGCTCCAACAAAGGCTTTTAGAGATATTTCCTAGGATATAAAGTGGAAAACTGTCTTAACTAAAAGAGAAACAACATGCCATGCGTTGACCGCGCACTTCTGAAAATCGCAAATACGAGACAACCTCTACAACTCGGTATACTCGTAGGCGACTGAGGCCTGGGAACGATAATGCTGAAAGCGAAGGTCAGGTGTGCGGAATGCATTCATCGCATGATGAATTGCAATGCATGGCTGTTTTTGTGTGTGTGGGGGGGGGTCGTGGTTTGGCAAAAGAAGAACCCAGAGTTGAAATGGAATAATTTATGTACAGGCACTATCATCTTTGCTTGAAGTAATTTCTCATTTTCACTAGGGCCTACTAATATCAAGGCAGTTATATATCTGCTATACGCGAAATATCCATGGCCCATTTTTATTTCTTCGTTACAGAAACTCCATTTGATGCTATAGCTATCTTTTAAATGGCCGATGAGCTCAACCGCGTTTTTCTTTGGGGCATTCCCCGCACAATGACCAACACTTTGGTGAAGTGCTTGAGTTACGTCGAGGGAATCCAGATAGCCGTGCAACTCTACGCGGACGCGCACTTCTTCGGGCCAGACGCCAAGCGGCCGGTCACCACTCCCTTGGACCCCATGGAGAGTAAACTTAACGTCATTCTTGACGGAATTTATAAGAAGAGCAAGGTCGCAGCTTCGGGGGCAGACCCATCGTTGCTATCGTTTAAATCGGTCCGAGGGGTCTTGGAAGCTCCATGTCCTGGTAAGAAGGTCCTCTTCTGTAAGGAACAGGCCCAGTATCTGGATGGTCGCTATGACATGCTGCCTAAAGGATTTAAGTACAGTTTTATCATTCGCCATCCTCTCAAATTGTTCCTTTCTTACAAGAAGTATCTGCATGGATTCGTGGGGGACTTCCCCGACATGCGGACCTTGCCCCCTATACTGTTCCCTCCCGGATACGGTTACAAGGAGATGAACGACTTAGTGGAGTACGTCCGAGAGAACATCGAGCCCTCGCCGGTCATCCTGGATGCCGACGATCTGCTGCAGGATCCGGCGGGGATTTTGTCCACTTACTGCTCCAAGATGGGTATTCCGTACTCCAGCAAGCTGCTGTCGTGGGAGCCAGGCCGAGACATCATCAATTCTTGGATGGGCACCAAAGTCTGCATGAACGACGAGATGGATCATGCCTACAAGCATACGTTCGAGAGTGAGGGGTTTGGCAGACCGACACCTGTCCCGGATCTAGATAGTCTGCCGGATGATGTGAAGGCGTGCGCTCGTTATAGCATGAGTTACTACGAAGATCTCCACCGCCGAAGAATAATTGCATCCGGCTAGAATGACGTCACTTTGCTGCGTGAAGAAGTGACTCTTAACCCTAACACTCCTCAGTCCTCCAACAGGTGAAGGATTGAGGAGGGTTAGGGTTAAAGTACAAAATAGTCAATCTTACCAAAAAATCGCTGTCAAAGGCTACCTCGATTGAACCCACGACGTAGTGTTTTTAAGCAGAGACAGATTAATTGGGTCTGAATGCTTGTGAGCCAAGATTTTGACGGACATGTAGGCCTAAATACGGAAAAAATACAGCTGGAAAGAAAGAATAATTATAACCAAAATGCAGATAAATTACCTTTGAAATATGATTATTTATGTACCACTCAGTGATAAAATATATCCCCAATATAGACAAAATAATGAATTGACAAGTTAGACTCGACACGTATAACAGAAAGGACAAACAAAATGTTAATTTCAAAGACCAGTGATTCAGCAAAAAAATCAAGAATTGCAGAGGGTGTAGTTTATCACACATTGGTCTTTACCTTTATTTTTGATAGCCAATAATATATCAAAGGTAAATACTGTAGAGAATTCAAATGAAGTCTGTAGAACTGTGTTGTTTTGTGGGCCATTAACACCCCAATTTGGGAAACATTACCATGGCAACAAGCAAATTTAGACCGCGTCATTGGTCCTTTTTACCCCAAGTGTATATCAGGTAAGAAAGTTGCTCAGGTATCTTGTGGTAAAACCATTATTGATGATAGCTTTTATTGCATCTTATCTGTATTTTGAATGTTGATTTTAAATTAATAAATGAAATGAAATAAAACAGTTCCTCTTACGGGTCAAAAGGTTCCATAGCGCTTGACACATTGTATTTAATTGAAAGAGAAATTGTTCTTGTGCTGGCATAACACACATATTTTCTTAGTTCTCCAAACACAACATCTGAACTCAAATTAACTATGGTACAACTACGTTATTGAGTAACTGCTGCCGTTTATATTAATCTTTTTAGTTTTTAGGTTTAATGACAGAGGTCGATCAGAGTGGAGTCACAAGATGTCCAAATTCTGAAATAAATTACCTCGACCAATATTAGATGCTTATACGCTCTAAATGCCATGGGTTCTCTTTATAAAAAACGCAGTTTGCATAAGAAAGCATGCGTGCCATCGATATCGTCCGTTTGCATTAAACACCTAGATAACAGTATAACCAACCTTTCGCGTTTCACAGAGACCACTTTAAACTACACGAGCTATCTCAACCAAAATGAACTTTGGTCGAGAAACCTCAACTATCACCGAGGCCAGAATTCGCAGCACCGTCATTGTCAGATGAAAATAATATCGTACGATGCCAACGAAAGAGTGAGTAAATTGGAATGTTCAGCCTCACTGATTGGCTCAGGTCCTGAATGATCCCGGACGCGCTTTATGCCGAACGGGCTCTTTTCAGATCAAGATCCGCATAGATTGATTTCCACGGCGGCAATTCTAGAGTCCTAATATCACTAAGAACGGGAGCCTTTGCAGTTATACAAACACCCACGATGTTTGTGGAGCTGGAAATTTTTCATTTACAAATTTGTAGTGGGCGCCTTGTGCTTGAGAACCGACGGGGATGGCAAAATGCTCACACCCACGTAGGCCTACTGATCAATATGGAGATTCTGATAAAATGTATTTCACGTTATAAGAAATTATATGCATAACTGCTTTACTACGTGAGTATGACCATTGCCTCCTGATGTTATCATGCTGTTAATAACAACGTTATTATAATTTATAGCTTATTACCGAAGTATCAAACTGATAATTACCAATAATACATGTACATATGATGTCACACATCAAGTGCACTTTATCATTCATATTTCTTTAGTTTGCACTTTATCGTTCTGCACAGATACGGCTTTAATATAGCACTGAACTATTCGTAATGGTTCAGGTCGTATATGACCAAGCATGGATAGCTTCACTACGGAAGCCAAAAAACTCAGGAGTACACTTGGTTTCAAGATCATAGTTCTATTTAAAAGCTATTCGAAGAATGTGAAGGATTAAACTTTCACTTCTCAGGAAATTCCATTACGTTGTATCGCTAGCAAAGTGTTAAAACTCAGTACTGTGGGTTTAAGCGTATAATGGAATATCCCATTAACCCATTTATGAAACAATATGTCAGTAAAATAGTTAAATCTTGAGTACATGTTTATAGTCAAATACAATAATCTCAAATGCATTATTTTAATGCCACAGATGGAACCAAAGTATAATGAGTTATAATGCAATGTAAATTCTAATTAATTAAAAAGCGATAATCACCTACGATTGCGTTTGTTCACATCTTTTAATTTCTAAACTTACTATGGAAATTTACAATGGTCTTAGGACTCAGTTCTAAAACCTGTTTTCCAAATCGACATAAGAAATGCAGACAGCAACGCAATCAAGACGGAAACTGCAACACAGACATAATTATGGAAACATGTCCAACGGAAGAGTCGCCACAAATGCAAACCAGCCCCAGACGAATCGGCAAACTTGAGCCCGCTTCAACTTTGCCGACTGCCTACATTGAGTCGCTGTGTAGGCCTATACAAACATGCACGTTGGCATGACGGACGTACAACGACGTTCCTCTCCCTTAGTGCCACTCATTTTGTCAATTTGCTCCTTATTATGATGCTCCAATCGTCAACGAACGCGTTAACAATACATCAAACTGGAGTATCAGTTTGGCTTCAAGAGGCAACATTGCCACCTAAAAAGGCATTTATTGCGAAAATTTTCCGAGTTTCGGACGCCATTGTTTTGGGGTGGAACGACGTCGCACAGCGTCTCTTCCGGTCGTGTCTGCGTCTTGAGGTTTTGAAGACCGTCTGTGCTACTAACGACCATATGGAAACCAGGCTCAACACAGCACACACGTTCGTTGCGTTCTGCCGTCAAAAACGCCTCGGGAGCGATTTTGACGGATACGCAACACTTGGCGCAAGTGTTGACGCGAATACGAACTGGGGCCTTTAGTCTAGCCATTTTTCATGCCTTGCGTGCATTTCGTTTACGTGAACAGAATGTATTTGATACCCTGTTAGTATGTTTCTTCTTCCGCCGATTTTAACTTACTCCATCATGTATCACTGCACAGATGCTACATTGTCAAAATCTCATATTTTAGAGAACACTATTTCATCTATCACAGGCAGAAAACAAAGTGCTACTACACGACGAAATTAAGAAGTCTTTTAAAGTCATTTGAATTTGAATGTTCACCCTTTTCTAGCAAAGCTGTGGGTCACACTTACAATCTAGCTTTTATGCAAATTGCTCGCCTGTAGGTTCAAGGATCATTCCAACTGCGCCCGATGGAGTCGAGTCGTCTTTAAAGTAGATCTTTGTCGATGTCGGCTCAGTTGTCATCACGTTCCGGTCGGATCACGCTGAAATTCGCATAGTGAGCTCGATCTACCGCCATGTATGTCTGCAGAAAGGGAAGACCGGGAACATTGTCTAAACCACCCTTCAAGGTTAGTTCATACCAAAGTTGGAGGGAGGAAAAAAGATTTGTCGGCAAACACTCTCACTGTTTTGAACACTAAGCCCCACTCACGTGTTGCACCTTCTTGTCGCTCAAATCGCTGAAGATGCGGACCAGATCGCTGAAGGACGGTCTGTTGCTAGGGTCCTCCTCCCAGCAACGAAGCATCAAGGAGAAGCTTTGTGTAAACATATATAATAATAATCTATCAATGCAACAATGAACTATACCGAAAAATTCTAAGAAGATGTTGGACTGGTGGAACGCACCAAGAATTTCATATAATAGAGTTTAGATTTTAAGGTGGTTTAAAACGTAAATTGCCTGATCTTGAAAAAAGTAGTAATAAACACGTAAGATTTACATTGAAGGATCACATTAAAATGAACTGGTAACTCGCTTACATTAGTGGTCAAATTCAAGCCCTGGAAATAAGAAAGACATTAGGCCTAATCAAGATCCATTCAATCTAGTAAGGTTCTTAACCAATATTATGTTGCAAAGAAAGGCACACCATAACAATATCAAATTGATTGGCTTGCATCTGCTGCTGTCTTAAATGAAAGTTTAGCAGCTATTTTCTCCATGCTTTTCTTTCTATAGTACACTGTAGTGCATTAGTGAGTAATCTGAAGTTGTCTTACATTTCTTTGTCACAGTTGATAGGTTTGGGCATGCGGTATCCTTGCATTAGCCTTGCTAGCAGTGACTTGGTGGCAATGGTTGCGTATGGTGTGCCACCTACGGAAAAAATCCACCAATCAATCACATTTTAAGGAATTCTTCGGAATAGAAGAATTATTGTCAGGCTGAAACATGACCATTGCTTGTATATCTCTCCATGCAATTCTGCATATTACGTAATATTATGCATTAAAGTCTGCATGATTTTATGAGTTTCGTCAGAGTGTGATAAATAATTCCATCTTACCAATTGAAGCTATTTCCCACAGAAGAATGCCAAAAGACCACCTGAATAGCGCCAAGAAGTTAAAAAGTCTCAGTGAGAAAACACCTTGTAATTCAAAATGAGTGTTTTTAATAATCCATGATTTGAATTTGAAGACGAGTGACCATATACAAGGCTATTTATGCTCTTTTACTTAGAAAAAGCTTTCGTCATACATCTTAAAGCAGGCGTTTGGGGAACAAGTTCTTACATGTATGAGAACTGTGCCGATTACTCGAATATTGCGATATTCGACCAATTAATGAAAGATACGAATATTTATTTCGAAATAGGATACTTGGAGGTGAAAGTCAATTCAATATAATGATAATCTAAAGCTGGTTACAAAAATTGAAATTTTCAGGTGTATTCGTAGGTTTTCAAAAGTGACTGAATACATAATCCAACAATAAGACCAAAATTATTTCTCCTTCCGGTACTTTATTTTACATTTTGTGAAAATATTTATATCCTCTCTCTGCTTTTGTGGAAAGCTGGTACAACTGAATTTTAAAATAGTTCATTGAAAGGAAGGTTGTTTATCCGAATAAACAATTACTCGTGACTCAACTTACACATCACTCTGGGTTGTGTAGGTGCGACTTGACAAAGATTCAATGGCAAGCCAGCGGGTTGGTACACGCCGCTGCAAAAGAAAGTGCCACATACTAAGGTTTGTATTCAACAAATTTTGTTTGAGAAATTCATCTGACTTAATTTTAAACTTGTCTAACTTGGAGATCTGTCTAAAGTTAAAAAAAAAACAGCACCTAGACAAGGCCTACCTTTGACATTTGGACATAAATATCTTCCCCTCTTGAAAGGCCGAAATCAGACACCTTAGCTACTAGTGTCTCACCAAGCAAGATGTTTCTGGCTGCCAAGTCACGGTGAATAACCTGGAATCACATTGAATAATAATCCACTTGATCAGTTTGCTGTGCAGATTGGGAAGGCGACGCTACAAGTGATTCATCGTGCGCTCGCGTTTTCACTTCATGGGCCACCAGTATTACCGAACACCATCACCATTCATTGCAAAAAATTGCAATGAGAGAGTTCCCTACCCCTGACATGGCAAGATGCTCCATCCCCTTGGCAACATCCAGAGCAAACTTGATGAGTTGATCTGGAGAGAGGGCGCCCTCGTCTGACTCCGACTGTAAGCGACCCGTGCGTAGGTAGCTGCGTAGATCACCCTTTGGGAGGTACTCCAAGGCGACATACAACACATCTTTTAAAAGACATTGGTTGGAAAAAGAAACATTGAATGCCGTCTATGTGGTCCCGTTTTCGAATTTCTCTAAAATGATGGATCCTCGACAAACATTTAAGCACAAATTATAAAGCGGATCATCGAGGAACTGAATAAAGTATAGAAACTCTCACCGATACAACCAAAGAAATCTAAAACCTCCAATTGCTTTTAATTTGCTGTCTACAATTTGTATGATGTATTTGAAGTACCCCTATATCATGTCATTAATAAACCGCCATAAAGGCCGTTCTGGCGAACCAAATAATGCAAATGTTTATAGCACCAACTGACTAAACATAATTTCAGCGCAGGCTCCAAAAAGCACCCTTCTATTACCTTTATGTTGGCAAGCGCCCAGTAACGATACCACATTGGGATGGTACCCAATATTGGTCATTGTACGAAATTCCTCCATGAAGTCTTCACGGTCGGTCTCTGAAGCACGCCCTAACAAGAAATTGGAAAAAATTGTTAGTGATTAACTTCGGTGTAAGAAAAGTAGTCTGAGCTGCCATTTCGTCGCTGCTTACTGAGTATACTCTTAGGTACTTTTTATCTTTTCAGTTAGAAAACAGCCTTTTGGAAAATGCCGGTTTACTCATTCTTTAGGGGCATAACCAAACATTGAGTAGATATCCTTCAGACCTCCAAAAAAAGACAGTTTTGCCCTTCTACTGATACACAATTATTCATATAAAGTTCCAATTATCTTAATGTTTTAGAGTTCGTTAGTTTGGATCGTTCCATTATGATAGTGTGTTGGTATATAAATCATTTACACTTGTGTATTACCTTTGAGGACTTTGATCGCTGTCTCGGTCTTTTTCCCACTGACATTTACAGTTCCCAATCTCACTTCGCCAAAGTTCCCTTGACCGAGGACTTTGTCGTCAACGACCAAATTCTTCCATAGAATCTCCCATCTCAACGCCCAAGTTGGCAGGCCAACGTCTTCGTAGACAGTGGACTGCCTGTCATCTGGTTTAATAGGCCTTTCATAATCGATTTCATCCTGCCAAGTGAGTGACATAATAATAGAGAAACCAGAAATTAATCACTCCAAGTCAACTATGATCTCTTATGCAAAAAAAGTCCCAAGTCCTTTGTTCTTTTGAAGCATTAAGTTTCTGTTTGTGAGGTGAACACAGGGAAACGGATATGAAGGAGGGTTTGACGGTTTCTGTGCTATGTTGAAAATAGGCTTATATCTTTTATTTGTGTTTTTGTATCCATATTTGGGAATAAATCTTTCCTTTTTTTACATGTCCCCCATCCTACGTAAAAACACTTCTTTCACTTTTGTTCCAAAAAGCAAATCGATGCATCGTACGATGGACTCACCATCTCTACATTAGTAGTGACGACCGTTGGCGATGGTTGAAAGCTCTTTGCGCGACGTCGCCTTAATATTACTCCAAACGCAATCAAGACTACCAGCAGTACAACGCTCAGCACGCACATTCCAGCAATAATCGCAGTAAAATCAGTCGCTTGGGCTGAAAGGAACGAGAAAAAAAAAGATTCACAGAGAAAGGACAGATGTACAGAATAACAGATCCATGTCCAAGTTCAACTTTTCCAGTAGTGGCAGGATTCTTACCCCTGGGGGTGAAGTCAAAGAACATTTGTTACGGACACTGCTGATAATGTTACCCTCTCCCCCACGTGTTATTGGACATAAATTGGGGTTTTGCACCCTCTATCAACTCTATCAAGGCATTCCGTAGTTCAAAATTGTCAATGAAAACATGACCCGGTTTTCTTTGTAACTATTTGATTAACCCATAATCTGAATTGTGACTGACGAGCGATTTACATGTGACTTTCTAAAATCTCAATCCTGCCTTCATCTTAAACTTATATTATGAGTGTTTGGAAGGCATGTGGAATTCTATAGCTCAGGCTCTCTTGTTGTATAAAGACGTACGTTTAAGGGGGTGCTCTTTTCGGTAATTTGAAAAAAGAATTTTGTTTCTGAAACCATTTCGAAAATATAAAGATTTATAAATATATAAATATTTATGAGTTTGTAGAGCCTATATTACACACGTGTATTAAATCTTACCAGTCCACACAGGCTGCAGCAATGGACTTGTGACATAGTCCTCCTGAAATGTTTCAGTCAAAAGTTACGAAAGTATCTCATCATTTCTTTGAAACACATTAAATTGAACTGCAAGCAGGAAACTTTTCCAGATCAATAACCAGTATGCGGCAGTATATCAATCAAGCCTTACAACCAGTGGTGAAGCCTCCCCCCACAAATTCCCGGTGCCCCCAGGTGCCCCCCCCACTGAAAAAAACGGATGAATGGATATAGAACCAGGCTAACAAAAACTTACCCCCAAAAAAAACACACCACTGAAAGCTGGTGCCCCCATAAGATGCCAGTGCCACTTTGTGCCCCCCTAAAATCCTAGCTACGCCACTGCTTACAACTGCTGGTATCTTACCATTCCGTTGTCTAGTACCACGTATGCTCGTATGAAAGCCGTGTATTTGCTGTCCGGCGTGAGCGCTCCATTTTCTCCTTCGTGAATCATTGGCGCCTGTCTTCTTTTGCGCCTGGATCCAGTGCTCTGGCATTCAGACTTTCCCCCACTTCCTATTGTGACTTCCTTTGACTCGATTAAGTCGTTTCTGCAGAGGGTCAGTTGGGAAGAACAATTATGTTCACAAAGCTGACATGTGGCACTTCTGTGGATGCCTGATATTGAAGGCTGCTAGTCATTTTTATCCAGTGCTATTTTTCCACTGGCATTTTATGCCATGGATTGGCGGGGGAAGGAAACATTTAACGTTAGACTGCTGAAGAAGCCAAGCTCCAATTAACGCGGCTTTGTATAAGACATGACAAACTATCTTACACTTGACGATGCAGTTCACGGTAGAATTTTGCTGAGGGTTACACACAATTCCTCAAATCTGGTGAAAACCTTTCCCCTGACAATACAAGCAACTCGATGGGAAGGTCAATACTTTTTTTCTCCTCTTGGTGCGATCAAATGTTTCTAAATATATTTACTGCTTCAGTTACCTCATGTTACCTCGAATGATCTGAAGAAATGCCAAAAATATGTACCACAAAGAAAATGAAAATCAGCATTTGAAGACTGGGAGATTTACTCATCTCATCTGCTGTCCAATTGTTGAAGAGTTTCGTCTACAATACCTTGTAAACGATAATGCACAAGTAAAGACACTAACCCTTCTAGTACCACAGCGACATACGGTAATCCTTGAGTCACTTTGGCGTCTTCGTAGGAGCGATACAGGTCAGGATGGTAGAGTATGTCCGGATCCGTGCCCTCAACGTTTTCATCAGTCTTCAGCCAAATGATTGTTATTTCCACGCAGCTGGTCAACGAAGTGAGTCATTAGGGAAAGTTAGAGTTCACTTAAAAATACGAAATCCCCAAAGAAACAACAAAAAAATCCTTGTGCGCGACAATACTTTTGTATGTGCGTCTGAAAAACTGCGTGAAACATCATCACCAATATCAATCAACTTACAACTAGAAAATCCTTCAAAATATGGACAGTAATGGCCATTAATTTAACAATCTTTTCATACTAGCATGCAAGGATTTAATTGGACTTTTTGTCTGCTGAGAAAGGCCACCATATTGCTTTCAGCTCATAGATTTATAATCAACTTGAATTTCCGATAATGGAGTGAAAGAAAGTATGCCCTACTATTAGCTCATTGTATACTCACCTGACGGGCCCATTTCTTTGACTAATGGATCCAATTGTCACCTTGAAGGTGCGATCAAAGACTGGGTTCCCAGGGGTATCAGAAATCATGGGCTGTTGGAGCTCAACGGGAGCTGTATTATGAAGCACAACAGCAGAAAAGTGCAAAATGTGAGAAAAGGCTCCAAATGTCTAAGCCTCACAGCACTGTTTCAAACTTGCCTGACCAGTATTCTATTTTTAGTCGTTTAAAGCTGTGTTTGAATCGGACTTTTTTGGAAAAACTCACGAGGCTTGTTGTCTGTTTAACTATTCAAATCCAATTCGGACAGCCTATAAACTGGCCTAACTGTTTAGAGTAAAACGCTAATGGTTAGGTTTACATTCCACAGCGAACGTTTTGCAGGACCAACGGGTCGCGCAGGAATACCTTCACTGTAAGATTTATTTTACCAATTATGTCGGTGGTGACCTTAATGTAACCACTATGGAATGCCCAAGCTCTCAAGGTAAGTTTTACATTTTTTTTAAATTCAATGCCTTTGATATAATTAATCGAGCATTCAAGTTTCTGAATTGGAGATCCACCGTCTAACCTTTTGTTTTACCACTGAATTCATAATGAACCATATCAATTTTCAGTAGGTTAACTTAATTGCACTTTCTACCTGCTCTGGGTGAATCACATATCGAGTTGGTCTCTTTACTAACAGATCCCTCGCCAGCTTGAGTAGAAGCCGAAATTTGAAATCTATATCGCGTGTAGGTTGCTAGATCACTCTTCTTGACTGAATACGTTCTTGGAGTCGTATCATCAGTGACAACAAAATCTGATGCATTTAGATCGGGAATTGGATCCAGATCATCCGATCCATCCCTCGGTATCAGGTACGCATTGCGAAAAATCTAGGTTGGAAAGTTGAAACCAAAAGTAAAATTCCCTGCACGCTGCAAAGCTTCCGGTTCCAAAGGGATGATAACAGAAGGTGTGTTCGAGCGTGAACCATGGGTGGACAACTAGTAAATTGCTTTTTATCAATGCGCATGTGCAAAACAGTTAGGCCTATACTTGAATATCCCTGGTCATAATGTTTTATGAACACGTTCATATTCAGTTGGCTACAACTTTCGTGGCGTACTCTGGTCGGCAGGATGGTCCAAACCGCCAATCGTGTGATTGTTCTGTCGAACGTTACAGCTTGTCGCTAGAACTTGCCCAAAAGAAGCGACTGAGTCATTGAAAATGGCCTTTTCATTTTCCTCGTGCTTCATCAAACAGAACCATTTAAAACTGCAGTGGATCACAAACTTGAGTGTTAGCCAAAGTTTAATATTCAATAGGCCTAAATAAACTAGCGCACATTGAAACATTAAAAAGCAAACTCGGAAAGCTGTGAAACGTAGGGCATTATTTTGTACTTTTAAAAGAAGGAATTGAATGGTTTTGCTTTTATTCCCTGATTTCACCCTTGAAACTTGGATAATAAACTCTTGCATGTCATTTTTCCATACGGGAAAGAACAATTTCTCCATTCCATCCCCAGCAACGTGTCTGTCACAGAATGTCTGTCACTGAAGAACACGGTTCAGTCGAGACCAAAATAAGTATTAGCAGCGTGGACTGGATTTATCAACTTCACGTGGATTAGTGACAGTTAAGATTGACTCATCTGCGACTGACTGCATGGGGTATAAGTCACATGATGGCTATAAGGCTTTTAAACCATGCAGTATGTAATCAACGCAAGTTGTCATAAGTGATATACTTTTGGTGTTTGATACAACAAAGAGTTCTTTGACAAGCAAAAGAAATTATTTATCATACCTTGTAGGATATAACATCTCCTTGCTCAGGTGGGTTCCATGTGACGAGGCAGTTGTCTCCTTTGTTGTCGAGATGAACACCGACAGGTGCAGAGGGAACTTGAACAGGAAAATGATAAACAGTAAGTGATAAAGCTCTAAAGGTAAGATAGCAATTAATAAATTGGTACATCAGTGATGTGAGCTTTAATGGGGCAGCATTGCCCCCTGTAGAAATCCCCGAGAGGGTAAAGTCAAATTCGTGTACCCCTGTTTTATGCCCCTCTGCAGATAGCATGACCGTTCACAGTAGGTTTCGAAACAAAGGCTGAAAAAGGGAAATCACTGGTGCCGTTATTTTAGAATCCGTTGATGCTCGTGGAGGTACACCGTGATTCTGGCCTATACCAATCAAATGCCAGGGATATCATGAACCGTCCAACAGGGATGCCACTGGATTTCACTGAACTGAACGAAGGCAATGAGATTGGCTCCTTCAGCAAGGGAACTCAAAACTGAGGTCCAGCTGTTGTATGTTACCATGCATTTCATTCAAGTCCTCTCAAAAATAAGTTACAAAGTGTTTCACTCAGTTCTAAACTCCCTGAACACATAGCGTTTGTGAGAAGCTTTAATGAACCCTAACCTAGCTACAGTTTGATTGAATAAAGCAAACAGTAAGGTGTACCCCACAGAAAAACCGACAGCTGGCCTCCGTGCATGTCTTTCCGCTGCAGACCCCGCAAACGTTGATTCAAGATATAGTTATGATACTTAGGATTCCAAATAACATGAATAACGGAACATGTTTATAACAGATCCTATCACCTGTTTCAAGCGTAGTGCAAAACGATGGTTCACTCCAAGAACCTCGGCTCACTATTGTTTCTGCCTGGACCTGTGAAGGAAGCATTCAATTGAAAAAAACGGACTGCCAATACACCTTCAGTTGTTAGCAGTGGGCAACCTCAACGATAATAAATAAATGACATTTTGCAGAATTTCTTTTAGATGAAGTTACTTTAAATGAAATAAAATGGTTACCCGTTCAGTATATAATGGCTTTAAGATGAAATTGGAAACTTAATTGACATGTTGAAGTGGCGAGTATGGTCTACACAGGCTCCAGACACAAATTGTGAATTCGCGTTCCCGATTACTTTTAAGTTACCTGCATGGAGTAGTTGCTATCAGCAACCAGACCAGTCAGCACAAATTCAAGGACGGTATCATTCAGTGCTTCAGTGACTTTCACTTCCTCATTGCCTTGGAGGACAATACCATAGCGAATGTAGTAAGCGATGATGATGCCGTGAGGTGGGTCTGGACGACGCCATCGAACTGTGATGGAGGTAGCATTCCCGCTGGGAGTCGTTACCATGGGAACTTGAGGTGGTTCTGAATACAAAAGAGTTTTGTACAGAATTGTCGTGTTATGTCTGAATATCTATACAGGCTTAGTTTGCGTCCTGACAAATATGACTCATACCACAGTTATTTTTCTGCAAAGAGAACCCAATCATTGGACTTCCTTTGGCTACAATATGCAGCCGTAAATAACGTGTGCCAACAGAAGGAAGTGGCTGGTCTGTCCTCCCTCATGGCCACTGAATTTGATAACAAACTCAAATATCACTAATTGTTTTCCTTTCACGAGTTCCTGCATGCATCTACAGAGTTACATCATTTAGAGTTTTATGTCACAATTTGCTTCTCAAATGCATAAACGTATTTCATGCTTCATTTACCAAACACAAAGACTCACTTGCTTGGGCTGTGCGGAGCCTTATTGCCTCACTATACGGACCATCTCCAGCTGAAGTGCGTGCTAAGACTTGGAATGAGTACAGTGTATAGGGTACCAGACCACTGACGTCAGCTTGCGTCTCATTCGAAGGGGTGTTTTCAGTAATATTTACCCCTCTTTCCTCTAGATCCAGTAGTCGGTACCCGTACCCTGTGATGATGCCCCGGCGACCCTGGCAGGACGGTGGTTGCCACTCAAACCTCAGTCCTCGTTCCAATGTTGCTGTGTTGGTAATTCCTCTCGGTGGTTCTGATGGGGCTGTTGAAAAAAAGTATGTTCAAATACAGAAACACGTGTTTTATAAAATTGGCTAAGAGAAAAAGTAAGTAATAATCAGATTTTCAAATAATGTGTAGCAGAAATAAAGCAACCCACATAATATTATCACATATATGCTGAAAATGAAAATAAACTTTCAGCCAATCACAGGTGACCGTAGGAATTCCTGCTCTTAGATATATGCGTCTACCCTTGTCTCATTTGGTTTTTCAAAACAAAGAAAGTGTTCCTGAAAACGTCCTTTCTGTCTGGTAAAACCCTTCCCTTCCTTTCCAGACAAGCTTCTGGACTTTATTTTTTATTGCTGCATCGAAGCAAACTCTTTGCCGAGCTTCCCCTTGCTACTCCAAAACAATGAGCAGGCTATACAGCATGAATGAACAGGCCAGAAGTCATTGTCAACCATCGCAGCATCAATCTACCCACCCGCGTCAGCTGTATCAGCATAGACGTAAGATCTGTCCCCCTCTCCCGCTGAAGTCTTAGCTGTCACATCAACCTTGTATCTAGAGTGAGGAAAAAGGCCTGTGATGCTGTACTCCGTGCCTTCTGTTGTCCCCACCAGGGTACGATTACTTTCTGGTATCTCGCACTGCGATAACCAGACCAGGTCGTAGTGGATTGTGTAATTATCTATAGGACAGTTGCCAGACGGTTGATTCCATCTAACGCGCAGGGCAGTGGGCTGGTCTTCCACAGAATCCACAGATAATGCCTGAACCTGAGATGGAGCTAAAAGAAATTAAAAGAAAAAAATAACTTGTATACTTTCCGAAGAATTGCTTCTATGTTCATTCTTCATCTTATATACACATATTTGATTCATTTTTCATATTCTACCCTATATATCAACATGGGTAAACCTTTCACTTGATAAATTCATTACTCTGCTCACAAATATTAAACTCCGTATTATCATATAAAAATCATCCTCAAAAGCAAAATAATTACTCACTAGATCAATACATGAATACCAAAGATTTTCATATCATTGTTTGCCAACTGAGAATATTTGGGCCCTGAATAAAAACACACTTTGCATTATGACGATCTCAAAATATTTTCCTTCACGAACAATTACTACCACAAACATTAAATAATAAATTAACAGCAACAACACCAAAAAGAAAATCTCAAAATTTGTCAAATAATCACTTACCAACAGTGCTGGTTGTCACCTCAGTGGCATTGCTATAACTTCCAATGCCAATGGTATTTCTCACTGCAACCTTAAAGCTGTAGGTCGTGCAGGGGGTAAGCTGAGTTGCCCGTTTCACTTGATAACGTAAGTCGGACGAAACCAATTCACCGGTTGCTTGGTTTCTGAGCTCCGTTTTGTAATTATAGTATGATAATGGACTGTTCAGCTCCTCACAGGGAACCTCGTCCCATGTGAAGCGTATGCTGTCAGATGTGACATCTGACTCCTGCAAGTTCACTGTCGGAATGAAGCTGGATACTGTTGATACCAAAAAGAAAATTACATCATTCATTTCAGAGTTATTTAAATTATTTGGCAGAATTTCGAGTAAACATGCCAATTGTCAGAGCAGATTTAAATATAGCTCACATTTTAGAGAAATATAGTTCCATACTGTTGACGATATTTGACGACTGAAAAGCAAGCGTCAGACGTTATAGACCTGCTTGGCAGCATGAAGTTTTTAGTTTGAATCTACAGATTCATATTTCAAGTCCGTCCCGCCAATTTAATTTCATAGGTGGATTTTCCTTGTTCAATTCTGTTGTCGACCGTCATTCAAAAAGGTAGGCACTTATTGGAGATAGCCCAATCC